TTACCGAAAGAACCAAAGAAGATGAATCCTTGCAGTCACGAAAGCTTTAAATCTCTCTCTCTCTCCCCTCTCTATTTTTTCACGATCAGAGGAAACAAGAAGATGCTCGGTTTAATCGGCACTTTGCGTCCACACCAGAGACGGCTTTCTTTCGAGCCTAGTCTCAAACGGTGTCAGACCAGAGGACGTTCGCCTTTTGGCGTCCTCTGGTCTAACACCGTTTGAGACGAGGCTCGAAAGAAAGCCGTCTCTGGTGTGGACCAATCGGTTTCAAGGACAATGCCACATATATTATCAGAGTGTGTTTTTTGTTTGCATTCTGACCACAAGCATTGTGGTTAATGCAGACGTGATTCCTTGTAAAAGGTTTCAGTTTGGTGTTTTAACAACTTAACGCAGCTGTTTTGTTGCTAGAAAAAAGGGGAAAACCTATTCTCATATTTTGGTACTGGCAAAGGAGGTCCCATGAGGTATGCAAACTCCAAATATACAGCAGGCATCGTCACTGTCGGAATCGAACCCACCGACCTCCTGCATACCACGCGAGGTAGTTTACATCTCCTAGCCACCGTGATGATGGTGATGAGAGATTTGTAATGGCACGGGGGTGACTAATAAGGTCTGAATCGGTCTATTAGAAGGTAAGGGGGTTGGCAGCTATGCAAGCGAGTGACTGTGGCAGCAGTAGTAGTTGTTGTTGTAGCGACACGGGCCAGCACCAGCGGCAGTGCCAACTCTAGAGAGTTATCACCGAAGGCCGAAAGAAACAGCAGTGGCCTAGGGCCTCCGAGCACCTCCATCAGGCCGCCCTGGCACCTGGAGTCCAACCCATGGACATCCGAGCGCTGTCGAACTCCCAAAACTCCCTTTGCTTCGCTGGTCAGGGGCCGTCCATAAATTACGTCACGCGATTTTGGGCGATTTTTGACCCCCACCCTTCGTCACATGATGTCACAAAAAGTCAGACCCCCCCCCCCTCAAATATAAAACATGCTTCAAATCGCTTTAAACTATTGTCATTGTAGCAGTGCGTATTTAATGTGCCGCTGCACTCTGATGTTGTAGGAGAAAACATTTATTAAAAAGTCTATTTAATTAAGTATAACGTGTCGTCTATATTTATTTAAAGTTGCGCATTTTGATGTGACGTCACATTTCTCAAACCCCCCCCCATCCCTCGTCACACATCGTCACAAATGTCTGACACCCCCCCCCCCCAGGTGCGTGACGTCATTTATGGACGGCCCCTCAGGCCCTGACGTAGCTGAGCGATGTGGTCACGTGGTTAATTACACCGCCCCCCCCACACCCTCATTATGACGCAGAGGTTTGGTGGGGTGGGGCAGGTGGAGACACGCCTGGGGGCACGCGGACAAAATCATCGGCCACGCAAACAAAGACAAAGGTCCCTCCCGTGTAGCCCGAACACGGACTGCTTGGGGGCAAGTGCTGTAAGCGAGCCGCGCCTTTGAAGGCCGAGTGGCGATGTTTACTACACACCGCACCAGGTACTCATTTGGAGCTGAGTCGACCTAGGAGAGGCCCGGGACCGGTTCAGATAATTGTCACTGGTGTTGGCCGTGAGCAGGAATCGAACCCGGGTCGCCAGGTTCATAGCGCAGTGTAACGCTAACCGCTACACTATCGCTCCCCCCCATTACATAACAACAACAACCGCCATTCGCCACTAAGTGGCGGTGACGTCACCACGACGCTTGTGCCAAGACATGTGCACCTTGAGGCCACGTGGTGTGTCGAACGCCCGCTGGCAGGAGGTCACGGGGCAGACCCAGGTGCCATGGGTCAACTGACTGAAATTACTGGCTGATGCACCACCTGTGCCCCCTACTGTGCCAACCTGCTGTGCTTTAGCCACCCGGCGCTCCGCTCGTTGTTGTGAGCGTCGTTCCTCCGCCCTCCGTTGTTGTTGGAGGGCGACTGCCTCCAAATGCCCAGTAGCGTCCTTCATGAGCCTCCTCCACAGAGGCTGATCTTGACACCGCTGGTACCAGTCATCGGCAAGTCCACTCAGCTCCACGTCCTCCTGTACCACATCACTCCATCTCTTAACTAGCCCGTGCCGCGCCCGTTTAGTCCCTTCGATCCGGCTGAACAAAAGCTGTTTAGGCATGCGGTGGCTGGGCATGCGAGCTACATGACCCAGCCAACGCAGCCTTGCCTGCCGGAGGAGCTCACCGATGGGACTTTGCCCAGATCTCTCAAGGATTGGTGAGCCGTTCACAAAATCCAGCCTGGTTTAACCCAGGATGGGTCGTAGGCAGGCTATCCTAAATGTTTCTAACCGGCGAAGATACTCCATTAGCGGGGTCCACGTTTCGCAAGCGTAGAGAAGTGAGGGAATGACCGTGGCCGAGAAGACCCGAAGCTTCGTGCGGGGCGACAGGCCAGGTAGCTTCCACACAGCGTTACGTAACCGATGAAAAGATATTGCCGCTCGACTGATTCGGAGTGAGACCTCTGCTGTTAAACTGGAGCCGGTCATAAGCACACTGCCCAAGTATGGGAAACTCTCCACTCTCTCCACAACTGCCCCATCACCGATTGGGAGTTGTGGGGGTGGAGTGTCCGATGGTACAAAACACCCAGGCAGCTGCTTAGTTTTGGTGGGGCATGCTCCAGTCTCAGCAGCAGTGTCTCCAACTCCTCCTCTGAATGAGCAGCTATTACCAAATCATCGGCATACATAATGTGGTTGACCAATAGGGAACCATCCCTTGACCTCACCCGGTCATCGATCAGCCTCCCATTATATCTGTACCAAATGGAAATTCCCCTGGTACAGCTATTGAAGGCTTCACGAACTACGTGGTCAAAATCGATGTTAAATAATGTGGGAGCCAGAGGACATCCCTGTCGCACCCCAAGGTGAACAGGGAATGGCTCTGTCTCCTGGCCATGTAATTTTACCCGGGCCTGTTCACCATCATGAAGGTCCTTAATGAGCGTGAGCAAAGGGTCAGGGACTCCGAAAGCACGAAGAACAACCCAGAGCCCAGGCCTACTGATGGTATCATAGGCCTTGACCAGGTAAATGAAGCAGAGATGTAGGTCTTGTTTGAATTCCCTATACCTCTGCTGTAGCAGAGAGACAGAAAATATGGCATCTGTGCAGGACCGCCCTTTCCTGAAACTGCATTGGGGCTCCGCGAGCCTCTCCTCAGCGTGCCTGGCAAGGCGATGTTGAATAATCCTTGCCAGGACCTTCCCCGGCACACTGAGGAGTGAGATGCCCCTGTAGTTGTTACAGTCTGTGCGGTCCCCCTTCTTAAAGAGGGGGACCACCAGGGCATCCTTCCAATCCTGCGGAACCCGTCCGGTGGCCCAGACTGTTGTTATGATGTCATGGAGGGCAGTCTGCGCACAAACGCCACCCTCCCTCAGCATTTCGCTTCGGAGATCATCTCTGCCCGGTGCCTTTCCTGGTCTCAGACTCTGGATCGCCTTCAGTACTTCCTCAACGGATAGCACCTCAGTCAGCCACTCACAGGGGGTGACTTCCTCCTCCAATATTTGAGGCACTACAGCCTCAGCAGGGTCATCCCCACTTTGTCCCATGATGTTTTCCAGGCTGAGAGATTCCCCCTCCCCCAGGACCTCAGAAATGCTCAGCAAATCTGCAACCTGTTCCTGGGGGTCGGAGACTGGATCACCGTTCTTTCCCCTAATGATGGTAATAGGTGTGGCGCTGCAGGTTACTTTTAAGATGGAGTTAAATAGGGAATTGTGATCTCGGGCCATTGAGGCATACTCTATCAGGAGGAGTAGGGGACGATGCCAACCCCAGCTGCAAGCAATGATGAAATTCTGGCTTGCAAGTTCCATCAGCTAGCTGAGACCAGGCCACCTTAGGTTGGAATGGGGTCCTGGGTGTACATCCACCACCGGAGTGGAAGAATGGCAGGTGCATCTTACAGATGACAAGTAGATGGTCAGAGGGCAGATCAGCTCCACGGTAGGTCCTGGTTTCAAGAACATGGGCTCGCATCCGCTGGTCCATCAAGATTTGGTGTGGATGCGCCGATGCCGGAACAGCGTGTTGGTAATTATAAGCCCATGGGCTGCACAAAAATCTAGCAGCCTCCTACCGTTATTGAGCTGATCTGGCCCATGCCTTCCAATCACTCCAGACCAGGTGCCAGCATTATGACCAACTCGGGCATTGAAGTCACCCAACAGGAGGACTCTATCCCGAGGGGCCACTTTAGCCAGCACCTGTGACAGGAGGTCATTGAAGGCATTTGACTCATCAGCCTTGCCTGCATCCCTCCAGGGATGTTCGTCTTCGGTGGGGGCATAAGTAACCATGACTACTACTCCTCGCCTCCAGTTAATGGGAAGGCGAGCCCAAAGTAGCCTTGGGCTTACAGCTTCCCATACCTCACCGCCACGCTCCCACGCCCCCTTCATTATTTTGTTTAGAATAAGAGCCACTCTCTGCCGTTTGGCAGTCTCCTGCCCCGAGTAGAGGACTGTCCACCCCTCATGGTGGCAGGAGCCAGAACCGGTCCACCGGACCTCCTGAATGCCACAGAGATCCAGGCGGTACCGGTCCAGCTCCCGACAGAGGAGTGGCAGCCTCTCCTCCACAGTGAGCGTTCGAACGTTCAACGTGGCCACACGAAGTGGCTTTTTGTTGTTTCTGGAGAAGCCCCGAGGGTAACAATTCAATCTCCTGGCTCCGCCAGATGGGGTTTGACCAGGAGACGTCATAAACGACTGTGCCCCCGGAGCCTCCAGCACAAGCTTATTAATTAGATATGTTTTACGTGGTTTAGTGGTAATTTATTGAATTTATTGAAAGTTACCAGCCCCTCGCACCCGTCCAGAGCCCCCATTTAGCCACTGTGGTGGTCACAGACGCCATGAGGGGAGAGGACCAATCGGAATTGGCCCTCTCCCCCACAGCACTGGGGAGTGGTGGGGGAATGCTCAGCACCCCCAACTTCCCTCCCATCCTTCATCAGAACGGCGCGACCCACCCACCACACCCCACCACACCCCCCACCACACCCCAGCCACCCTGACTCCCCCGCCCAGTATCTCTCCCCTCGCTCTCTCTCTCGTAGCCTCTCGTGCGGAGCCTCCGAAACCTCATCGTTCCATCGCCACCTCGTCTCAATATCGCCACCACCACCACAACCACCGCCATCACTGCCATCACCACTAATCACCACCACAACCACCACCGCCGCCGCCATGCGCTGCTCCCTGAGTCTGTGCGCGCTGCTGCCCCTCCTGCTGCTGCTGCTGCAGCCTGCTGCCTGGGTGGAAGGTAAGAGAGGGGTGGTGGTGGTGGTGGTGGACACGCTGTGGTGGTGGTGGACACGCTGTGGTGGTGGTGGACACGCTGGGGTGGTGGACACGCTGTGGTGGTGATGGTGGTGGTGGACACGCTGTGGTGGTGGACACGCTGTGGTGGTGGTGGACACGCTGTGGTGGTGGTGGACACGCTGGGGTGGTGGTGGACACGCTGTGGTGGTGGTGGACACGCTGTGGTGGTGGTGTACACGCTGTGGACATTGGGGGGATAGGGGTTAGATTGGGTGACAAGGTGGAACTTGGGGCGGAGAGCGCAGGCGGGTAGAGGGTGACACGGGGGGGTGACACGGGGGGTGACACGGGGGGGTGACACGGGGGGGGTGACACGGGGGGTGACACGGGGGGTGACACGGGGGGGGTGACATGGGGGGGGGGAGCGTGGCGCAGGGGTGGACAATGTAAAGGATGATGGGTGACGAGGATGACTGGAGGTGGACAGTGGTAGGGAGACACAGGGAGACACAGGGAGACACGGAGAGACACGGGGAGACACGGGGAGACACGGCGTGAGCCAACGGTGATACTTGTTGATGTTGTAGGTGTTGTTGATGTGTTGTTGATGTTATTGCTGGTGATGATGTTGATGTGATAATGTTGACGGTGATGATGTTGACGGTGATTATGTTGATGTGTTGTTGATGCTGTTGATGGTGAGCGAGGGACCGAGTCCTTCGTGGGTGAGGGCTGAGTGAGTGGTTGGGTGAGTGAGTGACTGGGTCAGTAAATGGTTGAGTGACTGGTTTAGTGAGTGGTTGAATGAATGGTTGAGTGAATGAGTGGTTGAGTGAGTGGTTGAGTGAGTGAGCGGTTGAGTGAGTGAGTCGCTGGTTGTATGAGTGGTTGAGTGAGTTGTTGGGTGAGTGACTGGGTGAGTGAGTCACTGGTTGAGTGAGTGGTTGAGTGAGTGGTTGTATGAGTGGTTTAGTGAGTGAGCGGTTGTATGAGTGGTTGAGTGAGTGAGTGTTTGTATGAGTGGTTGAGTGAGTGGTTGAGTGAGTGGTTGAGTGAGTGGTTGAGTGAGTGGTTGAGTGAGTGGTTGAGTGAGTGAGTGTTTGTATCAGTGGTTGAGTGAGTGAGCGGTTGGGTGCGTGGTTAGGTGAGTGACTGGGTGAGTCAATGGTTCGTGAGTGAGTTGGTGAGTGGTGGGGTGATATATTGTGAGTGTGTGCGTGGTTTGGTGATAGTATTAGGGAGTGTTTGAGTGAGTGAGTCACTGGTTGAGTGAGTGGTTGGGTGAGTGACTGGTTGAGTGAGTGACTATGTGAGTAACTGGTTGAGTGAGTGAGTCACTGGTTGAGTGAGTAGTTGAGTGAGTGAGTCGCTGGTTGTGCGAGTGGTTGAGTGAGTTGTTTGGTGAGTGACTGGGTGAGTGAGTCACTGGTTGAGTGAGTGGTTGAGTGAGTAGTTGTATGAGGGGTTTAGTGAGTGAGCGGTTGTATGAGTGGTTTAGTGAGTGAGCGGTTGTATGAGTAGTTGAGTGAGTGGTTGAGTGAGTGAGTGTTTGTATGAGTGGTTTAGTGAGTGAGCGGTTATATGAGTAGTTGAGTGAGTGGTTGAGTAAGTGAGTGGGTGGTTGTATGAGTGGTTTAGTGAGTGAGTGGTTGAGTGAGTGGTTGAGTGAGTGAGTGTTTGTATGAGTGGTTGAGTGAGTGAGTGTTTGTATGAGTGGTTGAGTGAGTGAGCGGTTGGGTGCGTGGTTGGGTGAGTGACTGGGTGAGTGAATGGTTCGTGAGTGAGTTGGTGAGTGGTGGGGTGATATATTGTGAGAGTGTGTGCGTGGTTTGGTGATAGTATTAGGGAGTGTTTGAGTGAGTGAGTGGGTGAATGAGTGGTTGAGTGAGTGAGTCACTGGTTGAGTGAGTGGTTGGGTCAGTGACTGGGTGAGTGAGTGACTGTGTGAGTAACTGGTTGAGTGAGTGAGTCACTGGTTGAGTGAGTGGATAAGTGCGTGGTTGGGTGAGTGACTAGGTGAGTGACTGGGTGAGTGAATGGTTCGTGAGTGAGTTGGCCATTGGTGGGGTGATATATTGTGAGAGTGTTTTAGTGAGTGTGTGGGTGAGTGGTTTGGTTATTGAGTGAGTGGGTGAGTGAGTCGTTGGGTGAGTGGTTGGGTGAGTGACTGGGTGGGTGAGTGACTGGGTGAGTGGTTGACTGAGTGAGTCACTCAGTGAGTGGTTGAGTGAATCGTTGATTGAGTTGTTGTGTGAGTGAGTCGTTGGGTAAGTGAGTGGGTAAGTGGTTGAGTAAGTTAGTGTTTGGGTGAGTGGTTGGGTGACTGACTGGGTGAGTGAGTAAGTTGGTGAGTAGTTGGGTGATGTAGTGAATGAGTGAGTGAATTATTGTGAGTGCATGGTTGGGTGATAGTGTAAGTGAGTGTTTGGGGGCGTGTTTTAGTGTGTGTGGGTAAGTGGTTGAGTTATTGAGTGAGAGGGTTCGTGAGTTGGTTTCAGTGCGTGACTCACTGGTGAATGAGTGAGTGGTTGAGTGAGTGGTTGGGTGAGTGGTTGGGTGAGTGAGTGACTGGGTGAGTGAGTGGGCGAGTGAGTGAATGAGTGGTTGGGTAAGTGAGTGGTTGAGTGAGTCAATCGTTGGATGAGTGACTGGGTGAGTGAGTGGGCGAGTGAGTGAGTCAATCGTTAGGTGAGTTGCTGGGTGAGTGAGTGAGTGACTGGGTGAGTTGCTGGGTGAGTGAGTGAGTGACTGGGTGAGTTGCTGGGTGAGTGAGTGACTGGGTGAGTTAGTGACTGGGTGAGTGAGTGGGCGAGTGAGTGAGTTGCTGGGTGAGGGAGTGACTGGGTGAGTGAGTGACTGGGTGAGTGAGTGGGCAAGTGAGTGAGTTGCTGGGTGAGTGAATGACTGGGTGAGTGAGTGACTGGGTGAGTGAGTGGGCGAGTGAGTGAATGAGTGGTTGGGTAAGTGAGTGGTTGAGTGGTTGAGTGAGTGAATCGTTGCATGAGTGACTGGGTGCGTGAGTGACTGGGTGAGTGAGTGGGTGAGTGAGTGAGTGACTGGGTGAGTGACTGGGTGAGTGAGTGGGCGAGTGAGTGAGTCAATCGCTGGGTGAGTGAGTGACTGGGTTATAGACTGGGTGAGTGAGTGGGCGAGTGAGTGAGTCAATCGTTGGGTGAGTTGCTGGGTGAGTGAGTGAGTGACTGGGTGAGTGAGTGACTGGGTGAGTGACGATGCTCAGGATGGTTTAACACAAACAAAGCAACACTCTCCGGGCCATGGCCCGACGTTTCGGGCAATGGCCCTCTTTCACAGCACATTCAGAGTGCTAGAGATGTAGGGCTGTGTTGTTATTTGTGTATTTACATCACTGCCAACGCAGCAGCGGCAGCAGCGGCAGCATCAGTGGATAGAATGTGATTCTGTACACTGTACAGTGATGTGTGGGGGAGCGGTGGCGCTGTGGTTAGCGCTGTGATTAGCGCGCCATTTGCGCTCCGAACGAACCCGGGGAACCCAGTTCAATGCCAGCGAACATCTCAGCCGTTCCTGCGCCTCCTCCCCTAGGTCGACTCAGCATTAAATGAGTACCTGGTGCGGTGTGTGAGCAAACATCGCCACTGGGGAGACAAAGGCGGTCAGGGCGTGGTGGAACTGGCCACCCACCCCCTCGTGCCTTAGCAGCAGCAGCTGCTGCTGCTACTCGCTAACAGCACTTGGCCCCTACAGCCTGTTGAGGCTACACGGGGGACCTTTGTGTAACGAGCAGGAGAGCGTGCACTCGATGTAATTGTGAATAATGTGTGCGTTTGTAAATTGTGTTTTAATTTCATAAACTGTTGCGCGGTGCTGGCCACCCAGGACCTGCTCGCGAACAGCACTTGCCCCTACAGCCTGTTGAAGGCTACACGGGGGGCCTTTGATTCATGATGTTGAACCTGTAACGAAGGTTACGGAGTGGCCTGGGGGATGCCTCTGATGGCAGCTGTAGCTGTAGTAGCTGTGTAGCTGTAGTAGGGGTGTAGCTGTGTAGCTGTAGTAGGGGTGTAGCTGTGTAGCTGTAGTAGGGGTGTAGCTGTGTAGCTGTAGTAGGGGTGTAGCTGTGTAGCTGTAGTAGCTGTAGTAGGGGTGTAGCTGTGTAGCTGTAGTAGCTGTAGTAGGGGTGTAGCTGTAGTAGCTGTGTAGCTGTAGTAGGGGTGTAGCTGTGTAGCTGTAGTAGCTGTGTAGCTGTAGTAGGGGTGTAGCTGTGTAGCCGTAGTAGCTGTGTAGCTGTAGTAGCTGTGTAGCTGTAGTAGGGGTGTAGCTGTAGTAGGGGTGTAGCTGTGTAGCTGTAGTAGCTGTGTAGCTGTAGTAGGGGTGTAGCTGTAGTAGCTGTGTAGCTGTAGTAGCTGTAGTAGGGGTGTAGCTGTAGTAGGGGTGTAGCAGCTGTAGTAGCTGTGTAGCTGTAGTAGCTGTGTAGCTGTAGTAGCTGTAGTAGGGGTGTAGCTGTAGTAGGGGTGTAGCAGCTGTAGCAGCTGTGTAGCTGTAGTAGGGATGTAGCTGTGTAGCTGTAGTAGCTGTGTAGCTGTAGTAGGGGTGTAGCTGTGTAGTTGTAGCAGCTGTAGTAGCTGTGTAGCTGTAGTAGCTGTGTAGCTGTAGTAGCTGTAGTAGGGGTGTAGCTGTAGTAGTTGTGTAGCTGTAGTAGGGGTGTAGCTGTAGTAGCTGTAGTAGCTGTGTAGCTGTAGTAGCTGTAGTAGGGGTGTAGCTGTGTAGCTGTAGTAGCTGTGTAGCTGTAGTAGGGGTGTAGCTGTAATAGCTGTAGTAGGGGTGTAGCTGTGTAGCTGTAGTAGCTGTAGTAGCTGTGTCGCTGTAGTAGCTGTGTAGCTGTAGTAGCTGTAGTAGCTGTGTCGCTGTAGTAGCTGTGTAGCTGTAGTAGGGGTGTAGCTGTAGTAGCTGTAGTAGCTGTAGTAGGGGTGTAGCTGTGTAGCTGTAGTAGCTGTGTAGCTGTAGTAGGGGTGTAGCTGTAGTAGCTGTAGTAGCTGTGTAGCTGTGTAGCTGTAGTAGCTGTAGTAGCTGTAGTAGCTGTGTAGCTGTAGTAGCTGTAGTAGCTGCGTCGCTGTAGTAGCTGTGTAGCTGTAGTAGCTGTAGTAGCTGTGTAGCTGTAGTAGGGGTGTAGCTGTGTAGCTGTAGTAGCTGTAGTAGGGGTGTAGCTGTGTAGCTGTACTAGCTGTGTAGCTGTAGTAGCTGTAGTAGATGTGTAGCTGTAGTAGGGGTGTAGCTGTAGTAGCTGTAGTAGGGGTGTAGCTGTGTAGGGGTGTAGGGGTGTAGCTGTGTAGCTGTGTAGCTGTAGTAGCTGTGTAGCTGTGTAGCTGTAGCAGCTGTGTAGCTGTAGTAGCTGTAGTAGCTGTGTAGCTGTAGTAGCTGTAGTAGCTGTGTAGCTGTAGTCGCTGTATAGCTGTAGTAGCTGCGTAGCTGTAGTAGGGGTGTAGCTGTAGTAGCTATAGTAGCTGTGTAGCTGTAGTAGGGGTGTAGCTGTAGTAGCTGTACTAGCTGTGTAGCTGTAGTAGCTATAGTAGGGGTGTAGCTGTAGTAGCTGTAGTAGCTGTGTAGCTGTAGTAGCTGTGTAGCTGTAGTAGGGGTGTAGCTGTAGTAGCTGTGTAGCTGTAGTAGCTGTGTAGCTGTCTAGCTGTAGTAGCTGTAGTAGCTGTGTAGCTGTAGTAGCTGGTGTAGCTGTGTAGCTGTAGTAGGGGTGTAGCTGTAGTAGCTGTAGTAGCTGTAGTAGGGGTGTAGCTCTAGTAGCTGTAGTAGGGGTGTAGCTGTAGTAGCTGTAGTCGGGGTGTAGCTGTAGTAGCTGTGTTGCTCACTCACCATAACCACTCACCACTCACCCCTCTGTATTCCAGGTCAACGCAGTAAAGGCAAAGGTGAGCTCCATCTCTACACCTCACTCACCACAACAACCTCACCCACAACAACAACCTCACCCACAACATCACCCACAACAACAACCTCACCCACAGAAACAACCTCACCCACAGCAACAACCTCACCCACAACAACAACCTCACCTATAACAACAACCTCATCACAACAACATCACCCACAACAACAACCTCACTCACCACAACAACCTCACTCACCACAATAACCTCACTCACCACAACAACGTCACCACAACAACAACCTCATCCACAGCAACAACCTCACCACAACAACAACCTCACCCACAACCTCACCCACAGCAACAACCTCACCCACAGCAACAACCTCACCCACAACAACCTCACCACAACAACAACCTCACCACAACAACAACCTCACCACAACAACAACCTCACCCATAGCAACAACCTCACCCACAACAACAACCTCACCCACAGCAACAACCTCACCCACAACAACAACCTGATCACAACAACCTCACCACAACAACAACCTCACCACAACAACAACCTCACCCACAACAACAACTTGATCACAACTACCTCACCCATAACAACCTCACCCACAACAACAACCTCACCCACAACAACCTCACCACAACAACAACCTCACCCACAACAACAACCTCACCCACAGCAACAACCTCACTCATAACAACAACCTCACCCACAACAACCTCACCACAACAACCTCACCACAACAACAACCTCACCCACAACAACCTCACCACAACAACAACAACCTCACCACAACAACAACAACCTCACCCACAACAACAACCTCACCCACAGCAACAACCTCACCCATAACAACCTCACCACAGCAACAACCTCACCACAACAACAACCTCAGCCACAACAACCTCACCCACAACAACAACCTCACCCACAACATCGTCACCCATAACAACAACCTCACCCATAACAAACTCACCACAGCAACAACCTCACCACAGCAACAACCTCACCACAACAACAACCTCACCCACAACAACCTCACCAACAACAACAACCTCACCCACAACAACCTCACCCACAACAACAACCTACCCACAGCAACAACCTCACCACAACAACAACCTCACCCACAGCAACTACCTCACCCACAACAACCTCACCACAACAACAACCTCACCCACAACAACAACCTCACCCACAACAACAACCTCATCACCCACAACAACAACAACCTCACCCACAACCTCAACCACAACAACCACCTCACAGTGCCGTGTTAACACGCGAGCCACACAGCCGGGAGGGTACCTGGGTTCGATTCCCAACTCTGACGCCTTCCTATGCGGAGTGCGAATCGTCCCCCACCCCACCCCCTGTCCTGCAGAGTGAGTGCCAGTCCCTGTGTGTCCCATAGCTAAACCCACACCCACGGTGGAACTGCCGGCTGTTGGCCAAACCCACAAATCAATGCTGAATCGCTTGCAAATCCCTCAACCTGGGGGGTTTCACGAGCATCACCATCAACGCTTCCCAGTCCCTGACTCGTGCAAACTTGACAGGAGCCTCTTGCAAGGGAGTCACGAGATTCAGTGAGGCTCAACATCGTAAATAAATATGATGTTGATGATGTTGATGGTTAAATGGTCTCTGTTCTTGCAGATTTTGACGATGACGATCTGCTGGGATATGTCAACGAAAAGCGTAAGTGACGCGTGTGTTTCGATTTAAAGCTTTCGTGACTGCAAGGATTCATCTTCTTTGGTTCTTTCGGTAAAGTCACCACGTAGAATGAGAATAAAATAATAAAATTGATAAAATAAAATAACGCAATAATATTCTCACGACGTTTTGGCTACAACACAAGCGGCCTTCATCAGGTCCAGCGATCCAGCGCTGTCCTCCAGACAGTCTCGTCCCTTCACCTGATGAAGGCCGCTTGTGTTGTGGCCGAAACGTCGTGAGAATATTATTGTGTTATTTTATTTTATCAATTTATTATTTTATTCTCATTCTACGTGGTGACTTTACCGAAAGAACCAAAGGAGACGCGTGTGTTGTTGTGTGTAAACATCAACACTGGGGGAGACAAAGGCGGCCGGGCGTGGTGCTGGCCACAACACACTCCACCACATCACTAACTGCTGCCTACTCGCTAACTGCGCTTGCCCCAACATTCTGTGCAGGCTACACGGGGCATCTTTGTCTTTGTGGGCAACGTAATCACGTTACAATTCTCAAAACAGAACCAGTGTACAGTATACATATACTGCATTTGTTTTACACATCCCATCAGCCTCACGTGCCCTCCTGTCTGGGGGGAGTAGCAGCAGTGCTGACAACACGGCCCGATCGCGAACACTGGCCCCGTTTTGACGATCAGGGCATCATCAGCAGTCAGGGCTTGGTTTGAATCAACGCTGGAACTCACCCACCCCCCACCCCCAGCACCCTGCTCTCAGACACTTTAAACTTTGACTGAAAACTTTCGTGACTTGCAGCAATCCATATTCTTTGGTTCTTTCGGTAAAGTCACGTCGGTAGAAAATAATAAAGTTAATTTTAAAAAAAATGTTTAAAAAAAAAGCCAAAAACTCACGTTTTTTTATAATACATTTTGTTTGTTTATTAATACAATTACTTATTTTATAAATTTCTATCCACGTGACACACACACTTTGTTTGGCAATATTTGACCGGAGGAATGGGAGGTTTATTTATTATTAATACGAACACGAATTTATTTCACTACACCACGTGGGGGGCGGGGGGGGGTGCCAACGAGCAGCAACAGCCATTCCGATCAGGATGCGACCTCCCCTCCAGCCTCGAGAGAGCGGCAAACACGTGGGGCCGATTTAAAAACTCGGGTAAACACCCTCCCACTCACTCTCTCACTCACCCTCCCACTCACCCTCTCGCTCACTCTCTCACTCACCCTCTCACTCACCCTCCCACTCACTCACTCTCCCACTCACCCTCTCACTCACCCTCTCACTCTCCCACTCACCCTCCCACTCACCCTCTCACTCTCTCACTCTCCCTCTCACTCTCCCACTCACTCTCCCTCTCACTCTCCAACCCTCCCACTCACTCACTCTCCCACCCTCCCACTCACTCACTCTCCCACTCACTCTCCCACTCACTCTTTCACTCACCCTCTCACTCTTCCACTCACTCTCTCTCTCACTCTCCCACCCTCCCACTCACTCACCCTCCCACTCACTCTCCCACTCACCCTCCCACTCACTCACTCTCCCACTCACCCTCCCACTCTCCCACTCACTCTCCCTCTCACTCTCCCACCCTCCCACTCACCCTCTCACTCTCCCACTCACTCTCCCTCTCACTCTCCCACCCTCCCACTCACCCTCCCACTCACTCTCCCACTCACCCTCCCACTCACTCTCTCACCCTCCCACTCACCCTCTCAATCACTCTCTCACCCTCCCACTCACCCTCCCACCCTCCCACTCACTCACTCTCCCACTCACTCTCTCACTCTCCCACTCACTCTCCCACTCACTCTCCCACTCACTCTCTCACCCTCCCACTCACCCTCTCACTCACTCTCTCACCCTCCCACTCACCCTCCCACTCACCCTCTCACTCTCCCTCTCTCCCACTCACTCACTCTCCCTCCCACTCTCCCTCCCACACTCCCTCCCACTCTCTCTCCCACACTCTCCCTCCCACTCTCCCTCCCACACTCTCTTCCCACACTCCCTCCCACTCTCTCTCTCCTTCCAGGTTTCCCTCTCCCTCCCTCCCTCCTTCCCTCCCCCGCCTCTCCCTCCGCTGCATCACCCTCCCCTGCATCACCCTCCCCTGCATCACATCCTCTCCCCTCTCACCCCTCTCCAACCTCAATCCCTTCCCTCATCCACCTACATCACATCCTCTCCCCCCACCCAGCTCCCCAAGCCCTCCCCACCCGTGTCTCCCATTCTGCGTGATGTACCCCCCCCCCTCTCTCTGCCTCATCTTGAGTGTTGGGGAGCGGTGGTGCAGCGGTTAACGCTATGCCGCGCTACGAACACCGGGACAGAATTCCCAGTTCGATTCCCGCTTACGGCCACCACCACCAACACCACCATCACCGCCACCAACACCACCACCACCAATACCACCAACACCACCACTAGCGGCGATTACCTGAACCGGTCCTGGGCCTCCCTTAGGCCGACTCAGCCTTAAAAAATGAGTAACCTGGTGCGATGTGCAGTAAACATCGCCACTGGGGGAGAGACAAAGGCGGCCGGGCGTGGTGTGCCACAGTGCCGGTAGCCTTCATAGGCGCTGCTGCTTACTCGCTACTAACAGCACTTGGCCCGACAATTCTGTGTGGGCTACACGGGGGAGATTTGTCTTTATTTCTAGTGGGTGTGGGCTGTCTGGGCTGTGTACAGGCTTGCATTGTACGGGAATGTGTGTGTGTCTGTGTGTGTGTCTGTGTGTGTGTCTCTGTGTGTGTCTCTGTGTGTGTGTCTGTGTGTGTGTGTCTGTCTGTGTGTGTGTCTGGCTGTGTGTCTGTGTGTGTGTGTCTGTCTGTGTGTGTGTCTGGCTGTGTGTGTCTGGCTGTGTGTCTCTGTGTGTGTATCTGTGCGTGTGTCTGTCTGTGTCTGTGTGTATCTGTGTGTGTCTGTGTCTGTGTGTATCTGTGTGTGTCTGTGTCTGTGTGTATCTGTGTGTGTCTGTGTGTGTCTTTGCGTGTGTCTGTGTGTGTCTGTGTCTGTGTGTGTCTGTCTGTGTGTGTGTCTGTGTGTGTGTCTGTGTGTATCTGTGTTTGTGTGTGTGTCTGTGTGTGTGTGTGTCTGGCCTCAGGGTGCACATAGCCTGGCACAAGCGTCGTGGTGACGTCACCGCCACGTAGTGGTGAATGGCGGTTGTTGTTTTTGTGTGTCTGTGTGTCTGTGTGTGCGTGTGTCTGTGTACACCCAGGACCCAATTCCAACCTAAAGTGGCCTGGTCTCAGTTATCTGATGAAAGTTGCAAGCGAGAATTTCATCATCGCTTGCGGCTGGGATTGGCATCGTCCCCGACTCCTCCTGATATCGAGGGTAAATGAGCGAGGTTTAGGACTGTGACTCATGCAGCTTCAATGGCTGCTTTGGGTACGCGGTCCAGACCTCCCCAGAGACCCTGGCTGACAGAGGAGGTGTTCAGGATGGTTGAGAAAAAGCGACAGGTCCACTGTCATCGGCTACAGAGTCCCACGTCAGAGAATGAGGAGGCTTACCGCAGCCTTCGCTCGGAGGTTCGGAGAGCTGTGAGGCGCTGCAAGGATGGGTGGTGGTCGCAGGTTGCTGAGGAGATGGAGTCTGCCTCAGTGGCCCGTGATCACAAATCTCTATTTAACTCCATCAAAAAAGTAACCTGCAGCGCCACACCTATTACCATCATTAGGGGAAAAAAACGGTGATCCAATCTCCGACCCCTCAGCCAGGAAAACATCGTGGCACAAAGTGAGGATGACCCTGCTGAGGTTGCGGTGCCTCAAATATTGGAAGAAGTCACCGCCTGTGAGTGGCTGGCTGAGGTGCCATCTGTTGAGGAAGTACTGAAGGCGATCCGGAGTCTGAGACCAGGAAAGGCAGCGGGCAGAGATGATCTCCCTAGCGAAGTGCTGAGGGAGGGTGGCGTTTGTGCACAGACTGCCCTACATGACATCATAACAACAGTCTGGACCACTGGACGGGTTCCGCAGGATTGGAAGGATGCCCTGGTGGTCCCCCTTTTTAAGAATGGGGACCGCACAGACTGTAACAACTACAGGGGCATCTCACTCCTCAGTGTGCCGGGAAAGGTCCTGGAAAGGATTATTCAACATCGCCTTGCCAGGCACGCTGAGGAGAGGCTTGCGGAGCCCCAATGCGGTTTCAGGAAAGGGCGGTCCTGCACAGATGCCATATTTTCTGTCCGTCTGCTACAGCAGAGGTGTAGGGAATTCCAACAAGACCTACATCTCTGCTTTATTGACCTGGTCAAGGCCTATGATACCATCAGTACGCCTGGGCTCTGGGTTGTTCTTCGTGCTTTTGGAGTACCTGACCCTCTGCTCACGATCATTAAGGACCTTCATGAGGATGAGCGGGCCCGGGTAAAACTACGTGGTCGGGAGTCAGAGCCATTCCCTGTACACCTTGTGGTGCGACAGGGATGTCCTCTGGCTCCCACATTATTTAACATCTATTTTGACCACGTAGTTCGTGAAGCCTTCAATAGCTGTACCGGGGGAATCTCCATATGGTACAGATATAATAGGAGGCTGATCGATGCCCGGGTGCGGTCAAGGGATGGATCCCTATTGCTCAACCACGTTATGTATGCTGATGATTTGGTAATAGCTGTTCATTCAGAGGAGGAGTTGGAGACGCTGCTGCTGAGACTGGAGCATGCCACTAAGAGGTGGGGCCTTACCATCAGCCCCACCAAAACTAAGCACCTGCCTGGGTATTTTGTACCATCGGACACTCCACCCCCACAACTCCAAATCGGTGATGGGGCAGTTGTGGAAAGAGTGGAGAGTTTCCCATACCTGGGCAGTGTGCTTATGACCGGCTCCAGTTTAACAGCAGAGGTCTCACTCCGAATCAGTCGAGCGGCAATATCTTTTCATCGGTTGCGTAACGCTGTGTGGAAGCTACCTGGTCTGTCGCTCCGCACTAAGCTTCAGGTCTTCTCGGCCACGGTCATTCCCTCCCTTCTCTACGCTTGCGAAATGTGGACCCCCCTAATGGATCATTTTCGCCGGTTAGAAACATTTAGGCTGGCCTGCCTACGATCCATCATGGGTTTAACCAGACTGGATTGTGTCAGGAGCTCACAATTCCTTGAAAGATCTGGGCAAGGTCCCATGGGTGAGCTCCTCTGGCGGGCAAGGCTGCGATGGCTTGGTCATGTAGCCCGCATGCCCAGCCACCGCATGCCGAAACAGCTCTTGTTCGGCCGGATTGAGGGGGCTAAACGGGCGCGGCACGGGCTAGAGAAGAGATGGAGTGATGTGGTACAGGAGGACGTGGAGCTGAGTTAACTTGCCGATGACTGGTACCAGCGGTGTCAAGATCGGCCTCTGTGGAGGAGGCTCGTGAAGGACGCTACTGAGCAGTTGGAGGTAGCCGCCCTACTACAACAACGGAGGGCGGAGGAGTGACGCTCACAACAACGAGCGGAGCGCCGGGTGGCTGAAGCACAGCAGGTTGGCACAGTAGGGGGCACAGGTGGTGCATCAGCCAGTCATCTCAGTCAGTCGACCCGTGGCACCTGGGTCTGCCCCGTGACCTCCTGCCAGCGGGCGTTCGACACTTCACGTGGCCTCAGGGTGCACATAGCCTGGCACAAGCGTCATGGTGACGTCACCGCCACTTTGTGGTGAATGGCGGTTGTTGTTGTTGTGTGTGTCTGTGTGTATGTCTGTATGTGTCTGTGTGTGTCTGTGTCTGTGTGTGTGTGTCTGTGTGTATCTGTGTGTGTCTGTGTGTGTGTGTCTGTGTGTGTGTCTGTGTGTGTATGTGGGGAGTGGTAGTGTCGTGGTTAGCTGCGGCCACCCGTGTTCGATTCCCGCTCACGGCCAACACCAGTAACGATTTATCCGAACCGGTCCCGGGCCTCGCCTAGGTCGACTCAGCCTTAAATGAGTACCTGGTGCGGTGTGTGAACGTCAGTGCTAGGGAGACAAAGGCGGTCGTGGTGATGTCCACCCCCCCCCCCCCCTCGTGCTGCTGCCTGCTCGCTACTAACAGCACTTGCCCCAGCAGTGTGCGTGGGCTACACGGGGGAGCTTTGTCTGCGTGCTTCGTGAGAAGTTCATTTTCACAGAGCCTGGGGGGCCTGGGGGGGGGGGGCGGGGTCCAGGAGGGGTGTGAAGTCGGTGGTGATGTTAGTGGTGATGGTGGTGGTGATGGTGATGTTGTTAGTGGTGGTGATGTTAGTGGTGGTGGTGATGGTGATGTTGTTGTTAGTGGTGGTGATGTTAGTGGTGGTGGTGATGGTGATGTTGTTGTTAGTGGGGGTGATGTTAGTGGTGATGGTGGTGATGGTGATGTTGTTGTTAGTGGTGGTGATGTTAGTGGTGGTGGTGATGGTGATGTTGTTGTTAGTGGGGGTGATGTTAGTGGTGATGGTGGTGATGGTGATGTTGTTGTTAGTGGTGGTGATGTTAGTGGTGGTGGTGGTGGTGATGGTGATGTTGTTGTTAATGGTGGTGGTGGTGTTAGTGGTGGTGGTGGTGATGTTGTTGTTAGTGGTGGTGATGTTAGTGGTGGTGGTGGTGATGGTGATGTTGTTGTTAGTGGTGGTGGTGTTAGTGGTGGTGATGGTGATGTTGTTAGTGGTGGTGATGTTAGTGATGGTGGTGATGTTAGTGATGGTGGTGATGTTGTTAGTGGTGGTGATGTTGGTAGTGGTGGTTATGTTAGTGGTGGTGATGTTGTTAGTGGTGGTGATGTTGTTAGTGGTGGTGATGTTAGTGATGGTGGTAGTGATGTTGTTAGTGGTGGTGATGTTAGTGGTGGTGTGATGGTGGTGATGTTAGTGGTGGTAGTGGTGGTGATGTTAGTGGTGGTGATGTTAGTGGTGGTGATGTTAGTGATGGTGCTGTGATGGTGCTGTGATGGTGCTGTGATGGTGGTGGTGATGTTGTTAGTGGAGGTGCAATGATGGTGGTGTTTTTTTTACTTCACAGCTACACCAAAGCCACCAAAGGGACGAGGCGCCGGTGATTAGACTTAAACTCACCACCACCTCACCACTTACTCACCACTACCTCACCACCTACTCACCACCTACTCACCACTACCTCACCACTTACTCACCACTTACTCACCACTTACTCACAACCACCTCACCACTTACTCTCCACCACCTCACCACTTACTCACCACCTACTCACCACCACCTCTCCACCACCTCACCACTTACTCACCCCCTCCTCACCACCACCTCACCACTTACTCACCACCACCTCACCACCTACTCACCACTTACTCACCACTTACTCACCACCACCTCACCACCACCTCACCACTTAATGACCACCTACTCACCACCACCTCACCACCATCTCACCACCACCTCACCACCTACTCACCACCACCTACTCACCACTTACTCACCACCTACTCACCACCACCTACTCACCAACTCACCACCTACTCACCACCTACTCACCACCAACTCACCACCACCTACTCACCACCAATTCACCACCTACTCACCACCTACTCACCACCACCTCACTACCTACTCACCACCACCTCACCACCTACTCACCACCACCTCACCACCTACTCACCACCACCTCACCACCTCACCACCTACTCACCACCACCTCACCACCACCTCACCACCACTTCACCACCTACCCACCACCACCTCACCACCACCTCACCACCTACTCAACACCACCTCACCACCACCTCACCACCACCTCACAACCTACTCACCACCAACTCACCACCACCTCACCACATACTCACCACCTACTCACCACCTACTCACCACCTACTCACCACCACCTCATCACCACCTCACCACCTATTCACCACTTACTCACGACCACCTCACCACCTACTCACCACCACCTCACCACCACCTCACCACCACCTCACCACCTACTCACCACCTACTCACCACCACCTCACCACCACCTCACCACCTACTCACCACCTACTCACCACCACCTCACCACCACCTTACCACCTACTCACCACCACCTCACCACCTACTCACCACCATCTCACCACCACCTCACCACTTACTCACCACCACTTCACCACCTACTCACCACTACCTCACCAACACCTCACCACCTACTCACCACCACCTCACTACCTACTCACCACTTACTCACCACTTACTCACCACCACCTCACCACCACCTCACCACTTACTCACCACCACCTCACCACTACCTCACCACTTACTCACGACTACCTCACCACCTACTCACCACCACCTCACCACCTACTCACCACCACCTCACCACCTACTCACCACCACCTCACCACCTACTCACCGCCACCTCACCACCACCTCACCACCTACTCACCACCTACTCACCACTTACCACCACCGCACCACCTACTCACCACTACCTCACCACCACCTCACCACCTACTCATCACCACCTCATCGCCACCTCACCACCTACTCACTATCACCTCACCACCACCTCACCACCACACTCACCACTTACTCACCACCACCACCTCACCACCACCTCACCACCACCTCACCCCCTACTCACCACCTACTCACCACCACCTCACCACCACCACCTACTCACCACCACCTCACCACCTACTCACCACCACCTCACCACCTACTCACCACCACCTCACCACCTACTCACCACTTACCACCACCTCACCACTTACTCACCACCACCTCACCACCTACTCACCACCACCTCACCACCTACTCACCACCACCACCTCACCACCACCTCACCACCACCTCACCACCTACTCACCACCACCTCACCACCACCTCACCACCTACTCACCACCACCTCACCACCCCCTCACCACCACCTCACCACCTACTCACCACTTAATCACCACCTACTCACCACCACCTCACCACCACCTCACCACTTACTCACCACCACCTCACCACCTACTCATCACCACCTCATCACCACCTCACCCCCTACTCACCACCACCTCACCACCTACTCACCACTACCTCACCACCTACTCACCACCACCACCTCACCACCTACTCACCACTTACCACCACCTCACCACTTACTCACCACCACCTCACCACCACCTCACCACCTACTCACCACCACCTCACCACCTACTCACCACTTAATCACCACCTACTCACCACCACCTCACCACCACCTCACCACTTACTCACCACCACCTCACCACCTATTCACCACTTACTCACCACCACATCACCCCCTACTCACCACCTCATCACCACCTACTCACCACTACCTCACCACCTACTCACCACCACCACCTCACCACCTACTCACCACTTACCACCACCTCACCACTTACTCACCACCACCTCACCACTTACTCACCACCCCCTCACCACCCCCTCACCACCACCTCACCACCTACTCACCACCACCACCACCTCACCACCACTACCTCACCACCACCACCTCACCACCACCTCACCACCTACTCACCACCACCTCACCACCACCTCACCACCTACTCACCACCACCTCACCACCACCTCACCACCTACTCACCACCACCTCACCACCTACTCACCACCTCACCACCTACTCATCACCACCTCATCACCACCTCACCACCACCTCACCACCACCTCACCACTTACTCATCACCACCACTTCACCACCACCTCACCACCACCTCACCCCCTACTCACCACCACCTCACCCCCTACTCACCACTACCTCACCACCTACTCACCACCACCACCTCACCACCTACTCACCACTTACCACCACCTCACCACTTACTCACCACCACCTCACCACTTACTCACCACCCCCTCACCATCACCTCACCACCTACTCACCACCTACTCACCACCACCTCACCACCACCACCTACTCACCACCACCTCACCACCTACTCACCACCTACTCACCACCACCTCACCACCTACTCACCACTTACCACCACCTCACCACTTACTCACCACCACCTCACCACTTACTCACCACCCCCTCACCACCACCTCACCACCTACTCACCACCTACTCACCACCACCTCACCACCACCACCTACTCACCACCACCTCACCACCTACTCACCACCTACTCACCACCACCTCACCACCTACTCACCACTTACCACCACCTCACCACTTACTCACCACCACCTCACCACCTACTCACCACCACCACCTCACCACATACTCACCACCTACTCACCACCACCACCTCACCACCACCTCACCACCACCTCACCACCTACTCACCACCACCTCACCACCACCTCACCACCTACTCACCACTTAATCACCACCACCTCACCACCACCTCACCACCACCTCACCACCTACTCACCACCACCTCACCACCACCTCACCACCACCTCACCACCTACTCACCACCACCTCACCACCACCTCACCACCACCTCACCACCTACTCATCACCACCTCATCGCCACCTCACCACCTACTCACTATCACCTCACCACCACCTCACCACCACACTCACCACTTACTCACCACCACCACCTCACCACCACCTCACCACCACCTCACCCCCTACTCACCACCTACTCACCACCACCTCACCACCACCACCTACTCACCACCACCTCACCACCTACTCACCACCACCTCACCACCTACTCACCACCACCTCACCACCTACTCACCACCACCTCACCACCTACTCACCACCACCACCACCTCACCACCACCTCACCACCACCTCACCACCACCTCACCACCTACTCACCACCTCACCACCTACTCACCACCACCTCACCACCACATCACCACTTACTCATCACCACCACCTCACCACCCCCTCACCACCCCCTACTCACCACCACCTCACCACCTACTCACCACTACCTCACCACCTACTCACCACCACCACCTCACCACCTACTCACCACTTACCACCACCTCACCACTTACTCACCACCACCTCACCACTTACTCACCACCCCCTCACCACCCCCTCACCACCACCTCACCACTTACTCACCACCACCACCACCTCACCACCACCACCTCACCACCACCTCACCACCTACTCACCACCACCTCACCACCCCCTCACCACCACCTCACCACTTAATCACCACCTACTCACCACCACCTCACCACCACCTCACCACCTACTCACCACCACCTCACCACCTATTCACCACTTACTCACCACCACCTCACCACCTACTCACCACCTCACCACCTACTCATCACCACCTCATCACCACCTCACCACCACCTCACCACCACCTCACCACTTACTCATCACCACCACTTCACCACCACCTCACCACCACCTCACCCCCTACTCACCACCACCTCACCACCTACTCACCACTACCTCACCACCTACTCACCACCACCACCTCACCACCTACTCACCACTTACCACCACCTCACCACTTACTCACCACCCCCTCACCACCCCCTCACCACCCCCTCACCACCACCTCACCAACCCCTCACCACCTCACCACCTACTCACCACCTACTCACCACCTACTCACCACCACCTCACCACCTACTCACCACCACCTCACCACCTACTCACCACCCCCTCACCACCCCCTCACCACCCCTGCCCCCCAGACTTCTCTGATGACGACCTCTTCGGGCTCGAACCCAACAACAAGCCCCCCCCCAAAACACTCCCCAAGGATCAGCCAGGTAACCATGGCGACCGCCTGGTGTGTTCTGCGTGGTGTGGTGTGCGTGGTGTATGTGGTGTGGTGTGATGCGTGTGGTGTGCATGGTGTGGCGTGCGTGGTGTGGTGTGTGGTGTGTGTGTGGTGTGGTGTGTGTGGTGTGTGTGGTGTGGTGTGCATGGTGTGGCGTGCGTGGTGTGGTGTGTGTGGTGTGTGTGGTGTGGTGTGTGTGGTGTGGTGTGCATGGTGTGGTGTGCGTGGTGTGGTGTGCGTGGTGTGGCGTGCGTGGTGTGGTATGTGTGGTGTGTGGTGTGTGTGGTGTGTGTGTGTAGGGAGCGGTAGTGTAGCGGTTAGCGCTACAAACCTTGCGACCCGAGTTCGATTCCCGCTCACGGCCAACACCGGTGACGATTATCTGAACCGGCCTTGGGCCCTCCCCTAGGTGGACTCAGCCTCAAATGAGTACCTGGTGTAGCGGTGTGTAAACATTGCCACTGGGGAGACGAAGGTGGCTGGGCGTGGTGCTGGCCACCCACCCCCTCGTGTGCCGTTCCGGCCTTCATAGGTGCTGCTACTCGCTAACAGCACTTGCCCCTACAGTCTGTTACAGGCTACACGGGAGGTCTTTGTATAGTGTGGTGCGGCGTGTGTGTGTGTGACAATGTGTGTGGGCCGGTGTGTGTGTGTGTGTGCCGTGCCGGCCTTCATAGGTGCTGCTACTCGCTAACAGCACTTGCCCCCGCAGCCTGTTAACAGCGTGTGGGGGATCTTTGTCTCTGCGTGTCTCAACAGCTAAAGTTCAGCCTAACCAAGGGAGCAAAACGTCCGGTAATCGCACGCAACGCAACGCGGCGCACGCGCCAGGCTAGGTTCACTCAGACCCCGGGCGAGCGAGAGAACGCGGCCCCGCCAGCGTGCAGAATCGCTTTAACGAACCGAATTGCCACCCATGATCATCGAGGTTGTTTTAAAGCTAGATCACGTGAATGTGTGTCTTTAAACCCGCCACCACCCGACACAGCCAACTTAGGCAGGTTTGGTGTCCCGTGAACAGAACGTGGTTAAATTCGCTACTAGTGTAGTGACTGACTTGGAGACGTGAATTCTCGTAGGCAGTTCTTTTATTCAACCGAGCACCCCGTTGCACAATACACACCGTACGCTGGCACACACTCTTCTCCCTCTCGTCTAGACACAACTCTGCGTAGTAAAATCTCGACTTAAAGCTTGCGTGACTGCAGGAATTCATTTTCTTGGCTCTTTGAACCTACCCACGTGACCTTACCGAAAGTCCCAGGAATACGAACTCTGCGTAAGTCGCTCGCCTACAAACACAACGCTAGCCGTCTGACACTGACGGCCAACTAGCGTCTAGCAGCGCAATGTCAGCTGGCGACGATCTTCAGCAGCGACGGCGGCGACGACGGGGATCCCGCTCCAAACGACAGCCCCGAGGTCCCCGCCCGGGGGCCCCTCTTATACTGGGGGGCGTGGCTCCGGCTCCGCCCCCGGCCACGCCCCCCAGAACCCGCTGGAACCTTCCAGCGGGTTCTCAACACGCCCCCCCCCCCCTTCCGTGACCTTTCCCCTACATCCCTCTCTGGTCTATCACGTGACCTGCTGTCAAGTCAGGGCTGCTGCGAGCTGCAGATCCCCTTCCCTGCCAGCAGCCACCGCTATGCTGCTACGTGGCCGATTCTCTGTCACTACACATGTGCAGCAGCACACCGCTTGTGTGTTGGAGAGCAAATCCATCAGTGTGTCGTTCAACCCGCCACCACCCGAGAGAGCCAACGGGTAAGTTTTGGTAGTCCCGTAAACAGGGCGTGGCCAATTCGTTGCCGGTACAGCGCCGCCAGCGTGCTGGGTGACCCCGGTCGTGAGAGGCCCCACGTGCTGAAGACTTTAACTCGCCGTCACGGACGCAGTCGGCCGAGGCTGGGGCACGGAGAGCGAGGAGAGGCTTTGACGGCGGTGACCCGGCGCGCGATTTACACGCACGACGTAAACGTCACCCGCCGTGGTGTTCGCGGTGGTGATCATGGTGCCGTGGTGATGATGATGATGATCGTGGTGTCATGGTTATGATGATCATGTCACGGTTGTGATGATCATGGTGTCGTGGTTGTGAGTATGATGATTATCATGATGTTATAGTTATGATCGTGATGTCATGGTTGTGATGATGATCATGATTGTGATGTCATGGTTATGATGATCATGATGTCATGGTTGCGATAATAATGATGACGATCGTGGTGTCATGGTTGTGATTGTGATGTCACGGTTGTGGCGATCACGATGTCGTGGTTATGATTATGATGGTGATGTGATGGTTGTGATGAAGATGATGATCCTGATGTCATAGTTGTGATGATCGTGATGTCATGGTTGTGATCACTGTTGTTGTTGCTTGTGCAGGAGGAAGTTTCAGTGATAGTGACTTGGGTGATGGTGGTGGCCACGGTGCCAGCAACACCGGTGAGCATCACGCGTGTGTGCATGCGTGTGCGTGTGTGCATGCGTGTGCCTGTCTGTGTCTGCACACGTGTTTGTGTCTGCATGCGTGTCTGTGTCTGCATGCATGTCTGTGTCTGCATGCGTGTTTGTGTCTGCATGCGTGTTTGTGTCTACATGCGTGTGCGTGTCTACATGCGTGTAACGTCTTGGGGGAGTGTAGCGGTTAGCGCTACGCTGCGTTATGAAACCCGGCGACCCGAGTTCGATTCCCGCTCACGGCACAACGCCGGTGACGATTATCTGAACCGGTCCTGGGCCTCCCCCTAGGTCGACTCGGCCTAAAATGAGTTGCCTGGTGCGGTGTGCAGTAAACATCGGCACCGGGGGAGAGACAAAGGCGGCCGGGCGTGGTGCTGGCCACCCACCCCATCGTGTGCCACAGTGCCGGCCTTCGTAGGCGCTTCCGCTGCTGCCCGCTAACAGCACTTGCCCCAACAGCCCATTAAAGGCTACGCGGGGGACCTTTGTCTCTGTGTACGTGTTTACCGCTCGGCTGTCTTACGTCGCTGTCTGTCTGTGCTGTTGTTTTGCAGGTCAAGGGGGTAAGGCTGGCGGCGGCTATGGCCACGGTGGTGGTGGCCAGGGTGGTGGTGGCCAGGGTGGTGGTGGCGGCTATGGTCGTGGTGGCCAGGGTGGTGGCGGCTATGGCCAGGGTGGTGGCCAGGGTGGTGGCGGCTATGGCCAGGGTGGTGGCCAGGGTGGTGGTGGCCAGGGTGGTGGTGGCTATGGTCGTAGTGGCCAGGGTGGTGGTGGCTATGGCCAGGGTGGTGGCGGCTATGGTCGTGGTGGCCAGGGTGGTGGTGGCGGCTATGATCAGGGTGGCCGTGGTGGACAAGCTGGAGGTGGCTATGGTCGTGGTGGCCAGGGTGGCGGTGGTGGTGGTGGCTATGGTCAGGGCAGCTATGGATACGAAGACTACGGTAAACACTCGCAGCGTCAGCCGCCTTTGTCAGCCCCCGGTCTCACGGAGGTGACGGGGGACGGGTGGCGAATCTCCGAACTCACCGATGAGTGGCCGAGTGGGCTCAGGCGCGGCTCCTGATGCTCGACATCGTTGCGCTGAGTTTCCATGGACAGCTGCAGTCAACTCCCGGTCAACGCCGGTCGACTTGAGTCGACTCCATTCATCTCCAGTGAACTCCAGTCGACTCTCGTTGACTGGAGTGGACTTCAGTCGACTCCAGTCAACTTCAGTCGACTCGAGTCGACTCCATTCATCTCCAGTGAACTCCAGTCGACTCTCGTTGACTGGAGTGGACTTCAGTCGACTCCAGTCAACTTCAGTCGACTTGAGTCGACTCCATTCATCTCCAGTGAACTCCAGTCGACTCTCGTTGACTGGAGTGGACTTCAGTCGACTCCAGTCAACTTCAGTCGACTCGAGTCGACTCCATTCATCTCCAGTGAACTCCAGTCGACTCTCGTTGACTGGAATGGACTTCAGTCGACTCCAGTCAACTTCAGTCGACTCGAGTCGGGTCCATTCATCTCCAGTGAACTCAACTCGACTCCAGTCGACCGGAGTAGACTCCACACGACTCCAGTCGACTCCACTCGACTCCAGTCGACCAGAGTAGACTCCACTCGACTCCAGTCGACTCCACTCGACTCCAGTCGACCGGAGTAGACTCCACTCGACTCCAGTTGACTAGAGTCGACTTGAGTTGACTGGAGTTGCGTGGACCCTGGAAACTCGGCGTTGGGCCCGTGTCCACCGTGCCAATCGTTTGTGCGCAACCACAAAGTTGACCGTGCAAGCGGAGTTGTTGACGCGTGCGAGGGCGAGCGAGTGGGTTGCATGCAACTGGTTGCCTGGGTTTGTGGGCCTCCCCCCCCCCCCCCCCTGAGTTGAGACAAAGCTAAAGCGGCCACACTTTACCCTACAGGGACTGGACAGAACCCAGATACGGCGGACAACTATGGTATGTCACGTGTGTGTGTGTGTGTGTGGCGTGCCACGTGTGTGTGTGTGGCGTGTCACGTGTGTGTGTGGCGTGTCACGTGTGTGTGTGCGTGGTGTGTGCGCGTGCGGTAGTGCGGGGAGCGGTGGTGCAGCGGTTAGCGCTACGCTGCGCTACGAACCTGAAGTTCGATTCCCGCTCACGGCCAACACCGGTGATGATTATCTGAACCGGTCCTGGGCCTCTCCTAGGTCGACTCAGCCTCAAACGAGTACCTGGTGCGGTGTCTAGTAAACATCGCCACCGGGGAGACAAAGGCGGCCGGGCGTGGTGCTGGCCACCCACCCCCTCGTGTGCTGTGCCGGCCTCCATAGGTGCTGCTCGCTAACAGCGCTTGCCCCAACAGTCTGTACGGGCAACACGGGGGGGTCTGGTTTTTTGTGCGTTCGTGTGTGCACGCATGCATGTGTGTGTGTGCATGTGTGTTCGTGTGCGTTTGTATGCTTGTACACCTGTGTGTGTGTGGTGCATGCACACACACACATGCATGGGGAGCTGTGGTGCAGCGGTGGGCGCGCTGCACTACGAACCACCCAGCGAGACAAGTTCTGTGGGAATGTGCGTGACTGATTGTAATGTGTTACTGTGGCCACGTGTGTGTGTGACTGATTATGTGTGGCTGTGCGTGGCTGTGCGTGACTGTGTGTCACTGTGGCCGTGTGTGTGTGTGACTGTGGCCGAGTGTGTGTGACTGTGTGTCACTGTGGCCGTGTGTGTGTGACTGTGGTCATGTGTGTGTGACTGTGCGTGACTGTGTCACTGTGGCCGTGTGTGTGTGACTGTGGCCATGTGTGTGTGACTGTGCGTGACTGTGTCACTGTGGCCGTGTGTGTGTGTGACTGTGCGTGACTGTGTGTCACTGTGGCTGTGTGTGTGTGTGTGTGACTGTGGCCATGTGTGTGTGACTGTGTGTGGCTGTGCGTGACTGTGTGTCACTGTGACCGTGTGTGTGTGACTGTGGCCGTGTGTGCGTGACTGTGCGTCACTGTGTGTCACTGTGGCCGTGTGTGTGTGACTGTGGCCATGTGTGTGTGACTGTGCGTGACTGTGACACTCTGGCCGTGTGTGTGTGACTGTGCGTGACTGTGTCACTGTGGCCGTGTGTGTGTGACTGTGGCCGTGTGTGCGTGGCTGTGCGTGACTGTGTGTCACTGTGGCCGTGTGTGTGTGACTGTGGCCGTGTGTGTGTGACTGCGTGACTGTGTGTCACTGTGGCTGTGTGTGTGTGTGACTGTGGCCATGTGTGTGTGACTGTGCGTGACTGTGTGTCACTGTGGCCGTGTGTGGGTGACTGTGGCCGTGTGTGCGTGACTCTGCGTGACTGTGTCACTGTGGCTGTGTGTGTGTGACTGTGGCCATGTGTGTGACTGTGCGTGACTGTGACACTCTGGTCGTGTGTGTGACTGTGCGTGACTGTGTGTGACTGTTACCACTAAACCACGACTAAAATATCTAATTAATAAGCTTGTGCCGGAGGCCCCGGGGGGACAGGCGTCTATGACGTCTCCTGGCCAAACCCCATTTGGCGGAGCCAGGAAATTGAATCTTTACCCTCGGGGCTCCTCCAGAAACAACGAAAAGCCACTACGGATGGTCACGTGGAATGTTCGAACGCTCACTGCGGAGGAGAGGCTGCCACTCCTCGAGCGGGAGCTGGACCGGTGCCGCCGGGATCTCCGTGGTATTCAGGAGGTCCGGTGGACCGGCTCTGGCTCCTGCCACCATGAGGGGTGGACAGTCCTCTACTCCGGGGAGGACACTGCCAAACAACAGGATGTGGCTCTTATTCTGAACAAAATAATGAAGGGGGCGTGGGAGCGTGGCGGCGAGGTGTGGGAAGCTGTAAGCCCCAGGCTACTTTGGGCTCGCCTTCCCATCAATCGGAGGCGAGGAGTGGTGGTCGTGGTTACTTATGCCCCCACCGAAGACGAACATCCGTGGAGGGATGCAGGCAAGGCTGATGAGTCCAGATGCCTTCTATGACCTCCTGTCACAGGTGCTGGCTAAAGTGGCCCCTCGGGATAGAGTCATCTTGTTGGGTGACTTCAATGCCCGAGTTGGTCATGATGCTGGCACCTGGTCTGGAGTGATTGGAAGGCATGGGCCAGATCAGCTCAATAACAACGGTAGGAGGCTGCTAGATTTTTGTGCAGCCCATGGGCTTGTAATTACCAACACGCTGTTCCGGCATCGGCGCATCAACACAACATCATGGATGCATGCCGGGTCCAAGCAAGAACATCTGCTGGACTACATAGTGATGGACCAGCGGATGCAAGCCCATGTCCTTGACACCAGGACCTACCGTGGAGCTGATCTGCCCTCTGACCATCGACTAGTCATCTGTAAGATGCGCCTGCCTTTCTTCCAATCCGGTGGTGGGTGTACACCCAGGACCCCATTCCAACCTAAGGTGGCCTGGTCTGAGTTAGCTGATGAAAGTTGCAAGCGAGAATTTCATCATCACTTGCGGCTGGGGTTGGCATCGTCCCCTACTCCTCCTGATGTGGAGGGTAAATGGGCGAAGTTTAGGACTGTGACTCATGCAGCTGCAATGGCTGCTGTGGGTACGCGGTCCAGACCTCGCCAGAGACCCTGGCTGACAGAGGAGGTGTTCAGGATGGTTGAGAAAAAGCGACAGGCCCACTGTCATCGGCTACAGAATCCCACGTCAGAGAATGAGGCTTACCGCAGCCTTCGCTCGGAGGTTCGGAGAGCCGTGAGGATGGGTGGTGGTCGCGGGTTGCTGAGGAGATGGAGTCTGCCTCAGTGTTCCACGAACACAAATCCCTATTTAACTCCATCAAAAAAGTAACCTGCAGCACCACACCGATTATCATCATTAGGGGAAAAAACGGTGATCCAATCTCCGACCCCCAGGAACAGGTTTGCAGATTTGCTGAGCATTTATGTGAGGTCCTGGGGGAGGGGAAACGTGGGGATGACCCTGCTGAGGCTGCGGTGCCTCAAATATTGGAGGAAGTCACCCCCTGTGAGTGGCTGGCTGAGGTGCCATCTGTTGAGGAAGTACTGAAGGCAATCCAGAGTCTGAGACCAGGAAAGGCACCTGGCAAAAATGATCTCCCAAGCGAAATGCTCAGGGTGGGTGGCGTTTGTGCACAGACTGCCCTACATGACATCATAACAACAGTCTGGACCACTGGACGGGTTCCGCAGAATTGGAAGGATGCCCTGGTGGTCCCCCTCTTTAAGAAGGGGGACCGCACAGACTGTAACAACTACAGGGGCATCTCACTCCTCAGTGTGCCGGGAAAGGTCCTGGCAACGATTATTCAACATTGCCTTGCCAGGCACGCTGAAGAGAGGCTTGCGGAGCCCCAATGCGGTTTCAGGAAAGGGCGTTCCTGCACAGATGCCATATTTTCTGTCCGTCTGCTACAGCAGAGGTATAGGGAATTCCAACAAGACCTACATCTCTGCTTTATTGACCTGGTCAAGGCCTATGATACCATCAGTAGGCCTGGGCTCTGGGTTGTTTTTTTGTGCTTTCGGAGTCCCTGACCCTCTGCTCACGATCATTAAGGACCTTCATGATGGTGAGCAGGCCCGGGTAAAACTACGTGGCCATGAGTCAGAGCCATTCCCTGTACACCTTGGGGTACGACAGGGATGTCCTCTGGCTCCCACATTATTTAACATCTATTTTGACCACGTAGTTCGTGAAGCCTTCAATAGCTGTACCGGAGGAATTTCCATTTGATACAGATATAATGGGAGGCTGATCGATGCTCGGGTGCGGTCAAGGGATGACTCCCTATTGGTCAACCAATAGGGAGTCATCCGATGATTTGGTAATTGCTGCTCATTCAGAGGAGGAGTTGGAGCCGCTGCTGCTGAAACTGGAGCGTGCCACTAAGAGGTGGGGCCTTACCATAAGCCCCACCAAAACTAAGCACCTGCCTGGGTATTTTGTACCATCGGACACTCCACCCCCACAACTCCCAATCGGTGATGGGGCAGTTGTCGTGAGAGTGGAGAGTTTCCCATATCTGGGCAGTGTGCTTATGACTGGCTCCAGTTTATCAGCAGAGGTCTCACTCCGAATCAGTCGAGCGGCAATATCTTTTCATCGGTTGCGTAACGCTGTGTGGAAGCTACCTGGTCTGTCGCTCTGCACTAAGCTTCAAGGCTTCTCGGCCACGGTCATTCCCTCCCTTCTCTACGCTTGCGAAACGTGGACCCCCCCTAATGGAACATCTTCGCCGGTTAGAAACATTTAGGCTGGCCTGCCAACGTACCATTCTGGGTTTCACCAAGCTGGATTGTGTGAGGAGCTCACAAATCCTTGAAAGATCTGGACAAAGTCCCATCGGTGAGCTCCTCCGGCAGGCAAGGCTGCATTGGCTGGGTCATATAGCCCGCATGCCCAGCCACCGCATGCCGAAACAGCTTTTGTTCGGCCGGATCGAGGGGGCTAAACGGGCGCGGCACGGGCTAGAGAAGAGATGGAGTGATGTGATACAGGAGGACGTGGAGCTGAGTGGACTTACCGATGACTGGTACCAGCGGTGTCAAGATCGGCCTCTGTGGAGGAGGCTCGTGAAGGACGCTACTGGGCAGTTGGAGGCAGTCGCCCTCCAACAAAAACGGAGGGCAAAGGAGCGACGCTCACAACAACGAGCGGAGCGCCGGGTGGCTAGAGCACAGCAGGTTGGCACAGTAGGGGGCACAGGTGGTGCATCAGCCAGTCATCTCAGTCGACCCGTGGTACCTGGGTCTGCCCCGTGACCTCCTGCCAGCGGGCGTTCGACACTTCACGTGGCCTCAAGGTGCACATAGCCTGGCACAAGCGTCGTGGTGACGTCACCGCCACTTAGTGGCGAATGGCGGTTGTTGTTGTTGTTGACGGTGTGACGGTGTGTGTGTGTGACTGTGTGACTGTGTGTGACTGTGTGTGTGTGACGGTGTGACTGTGTGTGACGGTGTGACTGTGTGTGTGACTGTGTGTGTGACGATGTGACTGTGTGTGTGACGGTGTGACTGTGTGTGACGGTGTGACTGTGTGTGTGACTGTGTGTGACGATGTGACTGTGTGTGTGACGGTGTGACTGTGTGTGTGACTGTGTGTTTGACTGTGTGTGTAAGTGTGTGACTCTGTGTGTGACGGTGTGACGGTGTGTGTGACTGTGTGTTACGGTGTGACTGTGTGTGTGACTCTGTGTGTGACTCTGTGTGTGACTGTGTGTGTGACTGTGTGACTGTGTGTGTGACTGTGTGACTGTGCGTGCCAGGTGCGGTGCTAATTTGGATCTCTGAGCATTACGAGCTGCTGCTGATCTTTGCCTCTAGATTCCTGCTGGACGAGGGGGAGTTGGAGCCCGGTAGGTGTGGGAGAGGGGGAGAGAGCCAACAGCTACTCACACAAAGAGCGCACAAGGCACCCTGGCTCACACACACGTGTCTCTCTCTCTCTGTCTCTCTGTGTCTCTCTGTCTCTTTCTCTGTCTCTCTGTGTCTCTCTGTGTCTCTCTGTGTCTCTCTCTCTGTCTCTCTGTCTCTTTCTCTGTCTCTCTGTGTCTCTGTCTCTGCCCCCCCCTCTCTCTGCTCCCCCCCCTCTCTCTGCTCCCCCCCCTCTGCTCCCCCCCCCTCTGCTCCCCCCCCTCTCTGCTCCCCCCTCTCCCTGCTCCCCCCTCTCCCTGCTCCCCCCTCTCCCTGCTCCCCCCCTCTCTGCTCCCCCCTCTCCCTGCTCCCCCCTCTCCCTGCTCCCCCCCTCTCTGCTCCCACCCCTCTCTCTGCTCCCCCCCCTTTCTCTGCTCCCCCCTCTCTCTGCTCCCCCCCTCTCTCTGCCCCCCCCCCTCTCTCTGCTCCCCAAGGCGGGAACACGAAGGTGTCTCCAGGAGCCTCTGCGGGCATCGCGGGCGGAGTGATCGCGGCTGTCGTGGCCGCAATCTCCGCGTTCATCGCCTACAAGCGGCGTCAGGGACGCGGTCAGCCTCGCAACAACAACAATCACAACAGCGACCACAATCACAAAAACAATCACAACAACAGCGACCACAATCACAACAATCTCAACAACAGCGACAACAATCACAACAACAATCTCAACAACAGCGACCACAATCACAACAACAATCACAACAGCGACCACAATCACAACAACAATCTCAACAACAGCGACCACAATCACAACAACAATCTCAACAACAGCGACCACAATCACAACAACAATCTCAACAGCGACCACAATCACAACAACAATCTCAACAGCGACCACAATCACAACAATCTCAACAACAGCGACCACAATCACAACAACAGCGACCACAATCACAACAACAATCTCAACAACAGCGACCACAATCACAACAACAATCTCAACAACAGCGACCACAATCACAACAACAATCTCAACAACAGCGACCACAATCACAACAACAATCTCAACAACAGCGACCACAATCACAACAACAATCTCAACAACAGCGACCACAATCACAACAACAATCTCAACAACAGCGACCACAATGACAACAACAATCTCAACAACAGCGACCACAATCACAACAACAATCTCAACAACAGCGACCACAATCACAACAACAATCACAACAACAGCCACCACAATCACAACAACAATCACAACAACAGCCACCACAATCACAACAACGATCTCAACAACAGCGACCACAATCACAACAACAATCTCAACAACAGCGACCACAATCACAACAACAATCTCAACAACAGCGACCACAATCACAACAACAATCTCAACAACAGCGACCACAATCACAACAACAATCTCAACAACAGCGACCACAATCACAACAACAATCTCAACAGCGACCACAATCACAACAACAATCTCAACAGCGACCACAATCACAACAATCTCAACAACAGCGACCACAATCACAACAATCTCAACAACAGCGACCACAATCACAACAACAATCTCAACAACAGCGACCACAATCACAACAATCTCAACAACAGCGACCGCAATCACAACAATCTCAACAACAGCGACCACAATTACAACAATCTCAACAACAGCGACCACAATCACAACAACAATCTCAACAACAGCGACCACAATCACAACAACAATCACAACAACAGCCACCACAATCACAACAACAATCACAACAACAGCCACCACAATCACAACAACGATCTCAACAACAGCGACCACAATCACAACAACAATCTCAACAACAGCGACCACAATCACAACAACAATCACAACAACAGCCACCACAATCACAACAACAATCACAACAACAGCCACCACAACAACAACCACCACCACCACCACCGCAGCAATCAGCACGACCTAATCCCTGATCGCGCTTGACACGTTCCACACCAACGTCACGCGTGTCCTTAGCGTGCCACGTGTATGACGCGCGACGTTTCGGGCGACGGTCCTCCTTCAGAGCGCACACACACATAGGTCACTCATGAAGGGCCGTTGCCCGAAACGTCGCCCGTTAACACACGGAGCGGCGGCGTAGCGGTCAGCGCTACCGCTGCGCCACAAACCTGGTCCACCCGGGGTTCGATTCCCGCTCACGGCCGCCCACAACACCGGTGACGATTCTCTGAACCGGTCCTGGGCCTCCCCTAGATCGACTCGGCCTCAAACGAGTACCCGGTGTGGTATGGTGGTAAAAAAAAAACCGCCACTGGGGGAGACAAAGGCGGCCGGGTGTGGTTTTTTCCGGCCACACCACCCCCTCGTGTGCCGTGCCGGCAATCGTAGGTGCTGCTCACTGACAGCACTTGCCCCGACAGTCCGTGAGAGGCTACACGGGGCACCTTCGTCTTTGTGCCTTGGTGCTGACGAGGCTCGTGCGGAGCTGCTGGCTGTGCTGAGTCGTCTGCGGGGTGATCTTTAACACCTCCAAAATCCCCGTGTGGTCCCCTTGTGGTCTCCCGTGTGGTCCCCGTGTGGTCCCCGTGTGGTCCCCCGTGTGGTCCCCCGTGTGGTCCCCCTTGTCAACAGGCGTGGCGGGTCCTGGAGGGGTCCCAGGGCAGCAGCAGGGGTCCGGGGGCAACAGTGAGTGACCCCCTCCCTCCCTCCACCCTAACACGCAGTGTGTGTGTGACACGTGTGTGTGTGACACATGTGTGTGTGACACGTGTGACACGTGTGTGTGTGACACGTGTGACACGTGTGTGTGTGTGTGTGACACGCGTGTGTGTGAGACACGCGTTGTGTGTGTGTGACACGCGTTGTGTGTGTGTGACACGCGTTGTGAGACACGCGTTGTGTGTGTGTGAGATACGTTATGTGTGTGAGACACGTTGTGTGTGTGAGACACGCGTTGTGTGTGTGTGTGTGACACGCGTTGTGAGACGCGTTGTGTGTGTGTGAGACGCGTTGTGTGTGTGTGAGACACGTTGTATGTGTGAGACACGCGTGTGTGTGTGACACGCGTTGTGTGTGTGTGACACGCGTTGTGTGTGTGTGACACGCGTTGTGTGTGTGTGACACGCGTTGTGTGTGTGAGACACGTTTGCTGTGTAACACGTGCTGTTCGTGTGCGATGTGTGTGTTGTGCACAGTGATCACGTCCCTGATTGGTCAGTTTTTCGGTGGAGGAGGCAGAGCCGCCGCCAACGCGAACTATGGCACCCCGGGCAGGGGCCAGCAATTCTAGCAGCGCCACTCAGCAGCCAGCCAACCAACCACTCAGCCAACCACTCACTCAGCCAACTACTCACTCAGCCAACCACTCAATCAGCTAACCACTCACTCAGCCAACCACTCACTCAGCTAACCACCCAACCACTCACTCAGCTAACCACTCACTCAGCCAACCACTCACTCAGCCAACCACTCACTCAGCCAACCACTCACTCAGCCACTCACTCACTCAGCCAACCACCCACTCAGCCAACCACTCACTCAGCACCCAGCCAGCCAGCCACTCACTCAGCCAACCACCCAACCACTCACTCAGCCAACCAACCACTCAGCCAACCACTCACTCAGCCAACCAACCACTCAGCCAACCACTCTCAGCCAACCACTCACTCAGCACCCAGCCAACCACTCACTCAGCCAACCACCCGGCCACTCACTCAGCCAACCACTCAGCGCCAAGCCACTCACTCAGCCACTCGGCACACACCCCTCTGCACAGCACACATCATCAAGCACAGCAACCTTCGCCGAAACCTCACCTGTGTATGCACCCACACATCCCCCGCGTCCTCGCGCCTTCATCATTCCGCGTCTGCGGCGGGCTGATGATCGTTGCCGTGTGGAGGGGAGGAAATCTCCTACCGGACTCTCCAGGACTCTCTCGGACTCTCCTGGACTCTCCGAGCGAGAGGACTCGGGCAGCCTGCACTCGTTCCAAATTTGAGACTCGTCGATCAAACTCTGGAGTCTGTGCCCCAGGACTCGCGACTTAGGGCCCCAGGGGATTTGTGACTCCCAATTAATTTTCCCAATTTGAGACTCCGGGATTTGGGGAATCGAGTGCCTGGACTTCAGTCCAAATTTAAGGACTCTTTTTTTAAAGATTTGAATCTGAGGCTCGGGAGGGCGGAGGGAATCGAGGTTCACCGGCTGAACCTTTTGGCCTGGACTCAAGACTCAAGAATCTGGACTTTTGAGTCTGAAAGCCAGGACTTGGGATTCCAGAATTTTGAGATTCGAGACTCAAGATTCGAGACTCAAGATTCGAGACTCCATCTCCTCTCCACTTACCCCCCCATCACCCCCCGTGTATAAACCGGTGCGTTTTAATCAAGTTGTGTATATAGGGGTACAGGGGTCGACCGTGCATATCGGGGTACAGGGGTATCCTTGTGTCGACCATGCATAAAGGGGGATATAGGGGGTATCCCCTCTGTGTAAACCATGTACACATAGGGGTATCCCCTCTGTGTAAACCATGTACACATAGGGGTATCCCCTGTGTAAACCATGTACACATAGGGGTATCCCCTCTGTGTAAACCATGTACACATAGGGGTATCCCCTCTGTGTACACCATGTACACATAGGGGTATCCCCTCTGTGTACACCATGTACACATAGGGGTATCCCCTCTGTGTACACCATGTACACATAGGGGTATCCCCTCTGTGTACACCATGTACACATAGGGGTATCCCCTCTGTGTACACCACGTAGGGGGTATCCCCTCCGTGTACAGCATGCGTGTAGGGGTGTCCCCTCCGTGTACAGCATGTACACATAGGGGTATCCCCTCTGTGTACACCATGTACACATAGGGGTATCCCCTCTGTGTAAACCATGTACACATAGGGGTATCCCCTGTGTAAACCATGTACACATAGGGGTATCCCCTCTGTGTACACCATGTACACATAGGGGTATCCCCTCTGTGTACACCATGTACACATAGGGGTATCCCCTCTGTGTACACCATGTACACATAGGGGTATCCCCTCTGTGTACACCATGTACACATAGGGGTATCCCCTCTGTGTACACCATGTACACATAGGGGTATCCCCTCTGTGTACACCATGTACACATAGGGGTATCCCCTCTGTGTACACCATGTACACATAGGGGTATCCCCTCTGTGTACACCACGTAGGGGGTATCCCCTCCGTGTACAGCATGCGTGTAGGGGTGTAGTGGTATCTGCTCCGTATCGGGTCTCGGGTTGGAGTGGTGAGCTTTTGCCGTGAAATGCCGCGTGCTTTGCTGGATGATCTCACCCCACCCACCTCCTCCTCGCCCTCCCCAGAACTAATAAAAGATCGTCAAACTCTTCTTGGACGGCAGTCGATGTGCCTCGACATCACAAACGGATAGCTTCCACGACGTGGCTCACGACGTGGACAATTATAGCAGCAGCAGCAGTGTGTGTGTTAACGGGCGACGTTTCAGGCAACCGCCCTTCCTCATGGCACGCAGGGAGACCAGTGGAGAGGCCGGTGAGTGACCTGTGTGTGCGCTCTGAAGGAGGGTCGGCGCCCGAAACGTCGCGGCCATACACGTGGCACGCTAAGGATGCACGTGTGGAGGGGAAAATCCACGCGACCATCGGGAGAGCGAGACACGCAAACTCCAAATATATAGCAGCAGCAGGAGCAGGGGTCAGGGTCAGGATCGCTCCCACGACCTCCTGCATACCAGGCGAGGTAGTTTACATCTCACCACGGAGAGAGAGAGAGAGACACGCAAACTCCAAATATACATACTCTTTAGTTCTTTCGGTAAAGTCACGTAGGTATAAATTTAAATAAATCACGACGTTCCGGGCGCAACACAAGCGTCCATCATCAGGTGGGAAAGCATTGGTCGGCTGCTGAGGCAGACTGTTTTAAAAAATTTGAAATGGGTGGAGTCCAAGGGTCATAAAGAAGTGGCCGGGGCTAGTGAAGTTAATGTGAGAAATTAGCATGATGTTAATGTGAGAAATTAGCATGATGTTAACGTGAGAAATTAGCATGATGTTAATGTGAGAAATTAGCATGATGTTAATGTGAGAAATTAGCATGATGTTAATGTGAGAAATTAGCATGATGTTAATGTGAGAAATTAGCATGATGTTAATGTGAGAAATTAGCATGATGTTAACGTGAGAAATTAGCATGATGTTAATGTGAGAAATTAGCATGATGTTAATGTGAGAAATTAGCATGATGTTAACGTGAGAAATTAGCATGATGTTAATGTGAGAAATTAGCATGATGTTAACGTGAGAAATTAGCATGATGTTAACGTGAGAAATTAGCATGATCTTCTTTGGTTCTTTCGGTAAAGTCACATAGAATGAGAATAAAATAATAAATTGATAAAATAACACAATAAAATTCTCACGACGTTTCGGCCACAACACAAGCGGCCTTCATCAGGTGAAGGGACGAGACTGTCTGGAGGACAGCGCTGGAGCGAAAAAGCCACGCTCAGATTGCGACCTTTAAGCTGTGTGAGAAGAAACAAAGCGCCTTGACAAAGGAATTAGCATAGAATTTAGCATTGAAATAGCTGAGTGATTAGCTTGTGACTGGTCACAGAAATGGCTATGTTAAAGTTAAAGCATACACATCCACAGAGGCACCCCTTGACAAAGGAATTAGCATAGAATTTAGCATTTAAATAGCTGAGTGATTAGCTTGTGACTGGTCACAGAAATAGCTATGTTAAAGTCAGAGCATAAACATTCACATAGGCACCTAGTACAAATCAAACAGGAGAAATTTAGCATTGAAATAACTAGGAGAATTTATCATTGAAATAACTCGGAACAGAGGAGGGGGAGAGAGACAGCTGCGAGGTGCTGTTATAATCCATGTTGTAAACCATACCATTAACCGTGGTGTGAGAGGTATTAAGAGTCAATGCCAGCGAAAGAGCTGCGGCCTGAAGGTCATCGTAAAATACAATTAATTAAGAACGGAAATGGTTTAAAACATTTTTCCAATGGTTACTAAGCCAGAATCCATCTTCTCGGTTGAAATTGTCTCTGTGCTTGTATATGTGAATGGCCTCATGAATGAATCTCTCATGGTAGCCGGTTGGTTTGCAAAGAACCTCCGTCTTGGAGAAGTCAATGTCATGTGAGCCCACTGAATTATAACAGTGATCTGCCACGGCAGAGGAGTTCATCCTACCGTGTTTCAAGTCTGCTTTATGTTCACGGATGCGGTCCGAGATATGTCGTTTGGTTTCTCCAATGTAGCTACTACCACAGAGGCACTTTAGTTTGTAAATGCCCGGGTACTGTATGTCTGGAACAGCATCTTTTACAGATGGAACTAGATCACGGATTTTATGTATTGTGTTGAATCGGACCTGGATCTTGTGTTTATTCAGGATTTTGGAGATCTTTTTAGTGACAATTTATTATTTTATTCTCATTCTACGTGACTTTACCGAAAGAACCAAAGAAGATTAATCCTTGCAGTCACGAAAGCTTTAAATCGAAATTAGCATGATGTTAATGCGAGAAATTAGCATGTAACTGTAAGATAGGAGAGAGCGGCCTCCTAGACGACACGGAAGTGGCTATGTTAATGCAGCGGGCGTCAGGGTCGGGATCGCACCCACGACCTCCTGCATACCAGGCGAGGTAGTTAACATCTCATAGCCACCACACCTTCCGGTTAAAAAGCAAAGTGCGACCCACGCGTGTGAAGCCAAACCGACCCGGAGGTACAAACCCGGCCTCTCTCCCCGCAAGACAACAACTCCTGCTGCCTGCGACTCCCGTCTTTATTTTAGCAGGTGAAGACCCCACCGAGCTACTTACGTAGAACTTTAGATGTTTAAGCACCCTGACTGTCACGTATAGCCCAACGAAGTGGCTCGTCATCGTCACGTGGACATTTATAGCAGCGGCCCAATACCACCTCGACTCCCCCACGCACTTCACCCGAGATCCCCGCAAGGGCACCTCGGTGGCTATGAAACGTTATCTACCTCGCCTGGTCTACAGGAGGTAGTAGGTGCGATCCCGACCCTGACGATGCCTGCTGCTGCTGTATATTTGGAGTTTGTGTGTGTCTCTCTCCGTGTTGAGATGTTATCTACCTCGCCTGGTCTACAGGAGGTAGTAGGTGCGATCCCGACCCTGACGATGCCTGCTGCTGCTGTATATTTGGAGTTTGTGTGTGTCTCTCTCCGTGGTGAGATGTTATCTACCTCGCCTGGTCTACAGGAGGTAGTGGGTGCGATCCTGACCCTGACGATGCCTGCTGCTGCTGTATATTTGGAGTTTGTGTGTGTCTCTCTCCGTGGTGAGATGTTAACTACCTCGCCTGGTCTACAGGAGGTAGTGGGTGTGATCCCGACCCTGACGATGCCTGCTGCTGCTGTATATTTGGAGTTTGCTGCGTCTCTTTCTCCCTGTGGTTTTTTTCCCCTCCACGTTTAAAAATCAACCTCACCACGCGTTCAGAGGTATTTGGCTGCTGCTATGAATCTCCACGTGACGACGATGACGACGATGACGACGACGATGACCACACGCCGCTCCGTCGTTTGTTGCCGCCAGGGTCGCTTCTGAAAGCGAGCTACCTATCGCAGTGGGAGGGCTTACACATGGTGACATAAAATTAGATATTAGAGTTGTGCCGCGTGAGGTTGTGCCACGCTGAGTTGTGCCACCTCGCGTGTGCCCACAGGTCCCCCCGTGTGTCCCCGTTTGTCCGCGCGTGTCCTCCGTCCGTCCCTCGTGTCCCCCCCGTGCGGAACGGACGACGTGCGGTTCGCGAACGCAAAGCACCCCCCGGCACGCGTCGTCGGCGTCGTCGGCGTCATCGGCGTCGGCGTCCGCACCGAAGGAGAGACACCGGCTGGGGGGGGCAGGCAGGGTTGGTCCCAGGGTCACGTGACTCACCGATTGTTTATTGTCGTCATTTTTTAAATCACAAAACGCCAAGCAGCCCAGCCACAAACGGCACAATACGAAGGCGTTAATAGATTCAAGGGGTTATTAGCGCGTGCCTTCAGGGAAAGCCCGAGGTTATTCTTATTGTGAGAGGTGGGGGGGAGGTAAAGAAACGATGGTGGTGCCGATGGTGGTGCCGATGGTGGCGATGATGGTGACGGTGACGGTGGTGGTGTGGTGGTGGTGATGATGGGAGGACGGGATTCCAGAGTGGAGCAGTGGTGAGTGGAGAAGCAGAGAGAGTGGTGAGGTGACATGCGGTGTGGCGAGTGAGTGGGTGAGTGAGTGGGTAAGTGAGTGGGTGAGTAAGTGGGTGAGTGAGTGGGTGAGTGAGTTGGTGAGTGAGTGGGTGGGTGAGTGGGTGAGTGGGTGGGTGAGTGGGTGAGTGAGTGGGTGGTTAGGTAGGTGGCTGGTAGTTAAGTGGCTGGTTGGGTGATTGGGTGAGTGGAACCTGCAGTATGGTGAGTGGGTGATTGAGTGGGTGAGTGGGTGAGTGAGTGGGTGGGTGGGTGAGTGAGTGGGTGGTTAGGTAGGTGGCTGGTAGTTGAGTGGCTGGTTGGGTGATTGGGTGAGTGGAACCTGCAGTATGGTGAGTGGGTCCTGCAGTATGGTGAGTGGGTGAGTGGGTGAGTGAGTGGGTGCGTGAGTGAGTGGGTGAGTGGGTGAATGAGTGGCTGGTTGGGCGATTGGGTGAGTGGAACCTGCAGTATAGTGAGTGGGTGAGTGAGTGGGTGAGTGAGTGGGTGAGTGGGTGACTTAGTGGGTGGGTGGGTTAGTGGGTGGGTGGGTTAGTGGGTGGGTGAGTGAGTGGTTGAGTGGGTGAGTGAGTGGTTGAGTGGGTGAGTGAGTGAGTGGGTACGTGAGTAAGTGGGTGAGTGGGTGAGTGAGTGGGTGAATGAGTGGCTGGTTGGGAGATTGGGTGAGTGGAACCTGCAGTATGGTGAGTGGGTGAGTGGGTGAGTGAGTAGGTGGCTTAGTGGGTGGGTGGGTTAGTGGGTGGGTGAGTGAGTGAGTGGGTGAGTGAGTGGGTGCGTGAGTGAGTGGGTGAGTGAGTGGGTGAATGAGTGGCTGGTTGGGAGATTGGGTGAGTGGAACCTGCAGTATGGTGAGTGGGTGAGTGAGTGGGTGAGTGGGTGGTTGAGTGGTTGAGTGGGTGAGTGAGTGGGTGAGTGAGTGGGTGGGTGAGTGAGTGGGTGCGATAGTGAGTGGGTGAGTGAGTGGGTGAATGAGTGGCTGGTTGGGAGATTGGGTGAGTGGAACCTGCAGTATGGTGAGTGGGTGAGTGAGTGGTTGAGTGGGTGGGTGAGTGGGTGAGTGGGTGAGTGAGTGGATGAATGAGTGGCTGGTTGGGAGATTGCATGGGTGGATACCTGCAGCAGTGAGCTGGCTGAACGCGGTATGGTGCAGCAGGAGAGGAAACAGCCTTCTGGTAGAGGCCGAGTCTTCAACGACGTTCACGGGAACCGTAACCACAGCAGCAGCTACCGAACAGCGACAAGGAGGCGGCTGGTCGCCGCCGCAGCGAGCAAACTGGGGTGCGTTAATTGGGTTAATTATCCGTCACCGCTAGCGAACGACGCCTCGACTGGACTAGACGAGCGAGCGGCAGAGGGGCGGGAGAACGAGGGGGCACGTGGGGGGGGGAGCGGGGGTGAGTGGGGAGTCTAACACATGGCAGGGGGGCTGGGTGTGTAGGGGGGGGGGCGAGGAGGTTTCTATGCGGACAGGCCTCAGGTCACCCATCACCCAGGTTCAACACCCGTGAACACGTGCAAAGCGCGAGCAAAGTGCGTATAAATATATACATACACGCATACGCGTGCGTGCGTGTGTGCGTGTGTGCGGCGTGCGTGCGGCGGTAGTGTGGTGGTTAGCGCATCACCGCACTCTGTGCGTGGTGCTGGCCAAACCACCACGTCGTGGGAGTGCCGCTGTGCCGGCCCTTTCACCGGGGGGGGGGGCGGTGTGCATGTTGCGTGTTGTGTGCGTCTGCCTGTGCGGGGGTGTCAGTGTGCGTGATTGTGCGGGGTGTCAGTGTGCCTGTGCGATCTGGGAGAAGTAGTCCAGGATGTCACGGATGCTGAACTCCATGCTGATCCCGGCGCCCGGGTAGCAGCGAGAGATGAGTCCCTCGAAGTGTTTGTACTGACGGATAAACTCCTCCTGCATGGAGTGCCACACGACCTGCACACACACACGGGGACACGGGGACATGGGCACACGAGGACACGGAGACACGGGGACACGGGTATTGGAGTAAATAGGGGCATGGGTTAGAAAGACCCAGGGACACAGACACAAGGGAAAGACACTGAAGAGACAGACTAGAAGACAAAGAGACACAGAGTTGACATACCAGAGACACCCAGGATGAAGACAATGGAGAAAGACAGAAGGACGACCCCCCTCCCACACACAGACAGATAGACGACCCCCCGCCCATAGACAGACAGATGGACGACCACCCTCCCACAGACACACAGATGGACGACCACCCTCCCACAGACAGAAGGAGGGACGACCACCCTCCCACAGACAGAGGGACAACCACCCTCCCACACACAGATGGACGACCACCCTCCTACACAAAGACAGATGGACGACCACCCTCCCACACACAGACAGATGGACGACTCCCTCCCACACACAGAGGGAGGGACAACCACCCTCCCCCACACAGACAGAGGGACGACCCCCCTCCCACACACAGAGGGACAACCACCCTCCCACACACACACAGAGGGACGACCACCCTCCCACACACACACAGATGGACGACCACCCTCCCACAGACAGAGGGACAACCACCCTCCCACACACAGATGGACGACCACCCTCCCACACACAGACAGATGGACGACTCCCTCCCACACACAGAGGGAGGGACAACCACCCTCCCACACACAGACAGAGGGACGACCACCCTCCCCCACAAAGACAGAGGGACGACCCCCCTCCCACACACAGAGGGACAACCACCCTCCCACACACACACAGAGGGACGACCACCCTCCCACAGACAGAGGGAGGGACGACCACCCTCCCACAGACAGACAGAGGGACGACCACCCTCCCACAGACAGACACAGACAGATGGACGACCCCCCTCCCACAGACAGACAGATGGACGACAACCCTCCCACACACAGATGGACGACCACCCTCCCACACACACAGATGGACGACAACCCTCCCACACACAGATGGACGACCACCCTCCCACACACAGACAGATGGACGACCACCCTCCCACACAGAGGGAGGGACGAGGAGGTGCGCACCTGCAGCAGGTTCTCCTCCTCACACAGGTGCTTGTCCACCTTCTTGTAGAGGTTCTCGAGGCCGCGTTTCACCTCTTTGCCCGGGTACTCGCGCAGCACCTTGCGCAGCTCCTGCTTGCTGAACATCAGCTGGTAGCCCACCTCGTCGGCCTTCACGCCCTGCGCCACGCGCGCCTCCACGCCCTCAAAGAATACCTGGGGGCACGCGCGCAGACACGGGCAGGGGGGGGGGGGGGTGGGGGGCGGAGACACGGAGAGACTTGTGGAGGCGCGTGGGGAGAACGACGCAGGGGGAGACACGGGGAGAGACGCGGGGGAAGACACGGGGAGAGACGCGGGGTGAGACACGGGGAGAGACGCGGGGGAAGACACGCAGGGGGGAGACACAGAGAGAGACGCGAGGGAAGACACGCAGGGGGGAGACACGGAGAGACTTGTGAAGGCGCGTGGGGAGAACGACATAGGGGGAGACACGGGGAGAGACACAGGGGGGGGCAAAGAGAGAGATGCAGGGGGAGACACGGGGAGAGACGCGGGGGGAGACATGGGGAGAGACGCCGGAGGAGACGGGGGACACGCAGGGGGAGACACGGAGAGAGACGCGGGGGGGGGGGGGGGGTGGGGGCGCAGAGAGAGACGCAGAGAGAGACGCAGAGAGAGACGCAGAGAGAGACACGGGGAGAGACGCGGGGGGAGACATGCAGGGGGGAGACACGGAGAGACTTGTAGAGGCACGTGGGGAGAACGACGCAGGGGGAGACACGGGGAGAGACGCGTTGAGAGATGCAGGGAGACACGAATGTGGTGGAGACACGGGGGGAGACACAGAAAGAGATGCGTTGAGAGACACAGGGAGATGCAGGGAGAAATGCAGGGGGAGGCAGCGGGAGCCACAGACAGAGACACGGGGAGACACGCAGGGGGGAGACACAGGGAAAGACGCTGGGGGAGACACGCAGGGGGATACACGGGGAGAGACGTATGTATGTTGAACTTCTTTTGCACCGTACGTAGCCAACCAGAGGGAGACAGAGACACGGCCATAGACACAAAGAGAGACACGATGAGCTTCGACAGACTCAAATGAGCACTGTACCTGGTGCGGTGCATAAGCATCGCCACTAGAGAGACAAAGACGGCCGGGCGTGGTCCTGGCCAACCACCCACTCGTGTGCCATTCCGGCCTTCATAGGTGCTCGCTAACAGCACTTGCCCCTAGTCTGTTAAGGCTATACGGGGGATCTTTGTATTTGTACGTGTGTGTAAGTGTGTGTGCGTGTGTGTGTATACGTGTCCGGCAAAACAACCCCCTACCTCCTCGCGGTGCCGGACGGGCAACTCTGTCGTGGACAGTGCTGTGGGGGGAGATCCAATTTTGATTGGCTCCTCCCCTCATGGCATATGTGTCCACCACAGGGGCTAAACGGGGGCTCTGGACGGGTGCGAGGGGCTGGTAACCCCTCCACCTTCAATTAATTACCACGAAACCGCGAATTAAACTGAAATATGTAACTAATAAGCTAGTGCCGGAGGCCCCGGGGGGCCAGGCGTCTATGACGTCTCCTGGCCAAACCCCAATTTAGCGGAGCCAGGAGATTGAATACCTACCCTCGGGGCTACTCCAGAAACAACGAGAAGCCACTACGGGTGGCCACGTGGAATGTTCGAACGCTCACTGCAGAGGAGAGGCTGCCACTCCTCTGTCGGGAGCTGGACCGGTACCGCCTGGATCTATGCGGCATTCAGGAGGTTCGGTGGACCGGCTCTGGCTCCTGCCACCATGAGGGGTGGACAGTCCTCTACTCGGGGCAGCAGACTGCCAAACAACAGGGTGTGGGTCTTCTTTTGAACAAAAGAATGAAGGGGGCGTGGGAGCGTGGCGGTGAGGTGTGGGAAGCTGTAAGCCCCAGGCTACTTTGGGCTCGCCTTCCCATCAACCGGAGGCGAGGAATGGTGGTCGTGGTTACTTATGCCCCCACCGAAGATGAACATCCGTGGAGGGATGCAGGCAAAGCCGATGAGTCAGATGCCTTCTAGGACCTCCTGTCACAGGTGCTGGCTAAAGTGGCCCCTCGGGATAGAGTCATCATGTTGGGTGACTTCAATGCCCGAGTTGGTCATGATACTGGCACCTGGTCTGGAGTGATTGGAGGGCATGGGCCAGATCAGCTCAATAACAACGGTAGGAGGCTGCTAGATTTTTGTGCAGCCCATGGGCTTGTAATTACCAACACGCTGTTCCGGCATCGGCGCATCCACCCAACATCATGGATGCATGCCGGGTCCAAGCAAGAACATCTGCTGGACTACATAGTGACGGACCAGCGAATGCGAGCCCATGTCCTTGACACCAGGACCTACCGTGGAGCTGATCTGCCCTCTGACCATCGACTAGTCATCTGTAAGATGCGCCTGCCATTCTTCCACTCCGGTGGTGGGTGTACACCCAGGACCCAATTCCAACATAAAGTGGCCTGGTCTCAGTTATCTGATGAAAGTTGCAAGCGAGAATTTCATCATCGCTTGCGGCTGGGATTGGCATCGTCCCCGACTCCTCCTGATGTTGAGGGTAAATGGGCAAGGTTTAGGACTGTGACTCATGCAGCTGCAATGGCTGCTTTGGGTACGTGGTCCAGACCTCCCCAGAGACCCTGGCTGACAGAGGAGGTGTTCAGGATGGTTGAGAAAAAGCAACAGGCCCACTGTCATTGGCTACAGAATCCCACGTCAGAGAATGAGGAGGCTTACCGCAGCCTTCGCTCGGAGGTTCGGAGAGCCGTGAGGCGCTGCAAGGATGGGTGGTGGTCGCGGGTTGCTGAGGAGATGGAGTCTGCCTCAGTGGCCCGTGATCACAAATCTCTATTTAACTCCATCAAAAAAGTAACCTGCAGCGCCACACCTATTACCATCATTAGGGGAAAAAACGGTGATCCAATCTCCGACCCCCAGGAACAGGTTCGCAGATTTGCTGAGCATTTCTGTGAGGTCCTGGGGGAGGGAAAATCCCTCAGCCAGGAAAACATCATGGCACAAAGTGAGGATGACCCTGCTGAGGCTGCGGTGCCTCAAATATTGGAAGAAGTCACCCCCTGTGAGTGGCTGGCTGAGGTGCCATCTGCTGAGGAAGTATTGAAGGCGATCCGGAGTCTGAGACCAGGAAAGGCAGCGGGCAGAGATGATCTCCCAAGCGAAATGCTGAGGGAGGGTGGCGTTTGTGCACAGACTGCCCTATATGACATCATAACAACAGTCTGGACCACTGGACGGGTTCCGCAGGATTGGAAGGATGCCCTGGTGGTCCCCCTTTTTAAGAATGGGGACCGCACAGACTGTAACAACTACAGGGGCATCTCACTCCTAGTGTGCCGGGAAAGGTCCTGGCAAGGATTATTCAACATCGCCTTGCCAGGCACGCTGAGGAGAGGCTTGCGGAGCCCCAATGCGGTTTCAGGAAAGGGCGGTCCTGCACAGATGCCATATTTTCTGTCCGTCTGCTACAGCAGAGGTGTAGGAAATTCCAACAAGACCTACATCTCTGCTTTATTGACCTGGTCAAGGCCTATGATACCATCAGTAGGCCTGGGCTCTGGGTTGTTCTTCGTGCTTTTGGAGTACCTGACCCTCTGCTCACGATCATTAAGGACCTTCATGATGGTGAGCGGGCCCGGGTAAAACTATGTGGCCGGGAGTCAGAGCCATTCCCTGTACACCTTGGGGTGCGACAGGGATGTCCTCTGGCTCCCACATTATTTAACATCTATTTTGACCACGTAGTTCGTGAAGCCTGCAATAGCTGTACCGGGGGAATCTCCATAAGGTACAGATATATGGGAGGCTGATCGATGCCCGGGTGCGGTCAAGGGATGGCTCCCTATTGCTCAACCACGTTATGTATGCTGATGATTTGGTAATAGCTGCTCATTCAGAGGAGGAGTTGGAGATGCTGCTGCTGAGACTGGAGCGTGCCACTAAGAGGTGGGGCCTTACCATCAGCCCCACCAAAACTAAGCACCTGCCTGGGTATTTTGTACCATCGGACACTCCACCCCCACAACTCCCAATCGGTGATGGGGCAGTTGTGGAGCGAGTGGAGAGTTTTCCATACCTGGGCAGTGTGCTTATGACCTGCTCCAGTTTAACAGCAAAGGTCTCACTCCGAATCAGTCGAGCGGCAATATCTTTTCATCGGTTGCGTAACGCTGTGTGAAAGCTACCTGGTCTGTCGCTCCGCACTAAGCTTCAGGTCTTCTCGGCCATGGTCATTCCCTCCCTTCTCTACGCTTGCGAAACGTGGACCCCCCTAATAGAACATCTTCGCCGGTTAGAAACATTTAGGCTGGCCTGCCTACGATCCATCCTGGGTTTAACCAGACTGGATTGTGTGAGGAGCTCACAAATCCTTGAAAGATCTGGGCAAGGTCCCATCAGTGAGCTCCTCCGGCAGGCAAGGCTGCGATGGGTGGGTCATGTAGCCCGCATGTCCAGCCACCGCATGCCGAAACAGCTTTTGTTCGGCCGGATTGAGGGGGCTAAACGAGCACGGCACGGGCTAGAGAAGAGATGGAGTGATGTGGTACAGGAGGACGTGGAGCTGAGTGGACTTGCCGATGACTGGTACCAGCGGTGTCAAGATCGGCCTCTATGGAGGAGGCTCGTGAAGGACGCTACTGGGCAGTTGGAGGTAGTCGCCCTCCAACAACAACGGAGGGCGGAGGAGCGATGCTCACAACAACGAGCGGAGCGCCGGGTGGCTAAAGCACAGCAGGTTGGCACAGTAGGGGGCACAGGTGGTGCATCAGCCAGTCATCTCAGTCAGTCGACCCGTGGCACCTGGGTCTGCCCCGTGACCTCCTGCCAGCGGGCGTTCGACACTTCACGCGGCCTCAGGGTGCACATAGCCTGGCACAAGCGTCGTGGTGACGTCACCGCCACTTAGTGGTGAATGGCGGTTGTTGTTGTGTACGTGTGTGTGTGTGCATACGTTGAGTTTGGGTAGTGGCTGGCCCAGGTAGGACGTGACATAGGCCTGCAGGGGTGTACGTGTGTGTGTGTGTGTGTACGTGTGTGTGTGTAGGTGTGTGTGTAGGTGTGTGTGTGTGCGTACGTTGAGTTTGGGGAGTGGCTGGCCCAGGTAGGACGTGACGTAGGCCTGCAGGTGTGTACGTGTGTGTGTAGGTGTGTGTGTGTAGGTGTGTGTGTGTAGGTGTGTGTGCGTACGTTGAGTTTGGGGAGTGGCTGGCCCAGGTAGGACGTGACGTAGGCCTGCAGGTGCTCTGCGTATTTGTTTTTGGCGTCGCGCCGCTCCGCGTCCAGGCTGCTGATCTTGAGGCGGGAGAGCGTGGCGAAGAGGTGGTGGTAGTTCTCCATGAGCACCACGTCCCGCGGGGTCTTCTGGCTCTCGGCCGCCACCTTCTCCACTGCCGCGGCCACAACAACAACAATAAACAATAACAACAAACAACCACCTACTCCATCACCGCAGCCACAACAGCAATAAACAACAACCACCACCTTCTCCACCTCCGCAGCCACAACAACAATGAACCACCACCGCAGCCACAACAACAATAATAATAAACAACAGTCACCGACTCCACCACTGCAGCCACAACAACAATAAACAACAACAAACAACAACCACCTCCACCACCGCAGCCACAGCAAAAATAAGCAACGATAAACAACCACCGACTCCACCATCGCAGACACAACAACAATAAACAACGAGCAGCACTAAACAACAACAAACAGCCACCTCCCCCATTACTGCAGCCACAACAACAACAACAACAGGAAACAGCCACGTTCTCCACTACCCCAGCCACAACAGCAATGATGAAGAAACAACAACATCAATAAACAACAACCATGCACAACAGGGACCTTCACATACAAGCTGTGTTTCATCTGCCCGGCGCTCCGCTCATCGTTGTTGCGAGCGTCGCTCCTCCGCCCTCCTCTGTTGCTGGAGGGCGACTGTCTCCGACTGCCCAGAAGCCTCAAGACAGCACCTAGCCTGGCACTGCCTAGCAGCGTCCTTCACGAGCATCCTCCACCACAGAGGCCGATCTTGATACAATCGGTAACGGTTAATTGGCAAGTACGCTCAGCTCCACTTCATCTCTCCAGCCCGTGCCGTGCCCGTTTAGCCCCACGCTATCCGGCCAAGCAGAAAGTGCTTAGGTATGCGGTGGCTGGGCATGCGGGCTACGTGACCCAGCCAACGCAATCTTGCCCACTCAGTCACCCACTCAGTCACCCACACATTCACCCACACAGTCACCCACTCAGTCACCCACTCAGTCACCCACTCAGTCACCCACTCAGTCACCCACTCAGTCACCCACTCAGTCACCCACTCAGTCACGCGTTGGGAGGGCATGCGGGCTACGTGACCCAGCCAAGGCAGCCCTTGGGACTGTGTCCAGATCTTTCAAGCAACTGTGAGCTCCTCACAGTCGAGCCTGGTTGAACCCAGGACGGATGGACCAGGACGGATGGTAGCCAGGCCCGCCTGAAAGATTCAAGCTGCGCATTCCTCCCTCCCCTCCCTCCCACCCTCCCCTCCACCTCCCTCCCGCCTTCCCCTCGCGCTCCCTCCCTCCCGCCCTCCCCTTACCCTCCCTCCCTTCTCTCCTTCCCTCCAACCCCTCCCTCCCTCCGTCTCCCCCTGCCCCTACCGTTGTCAAACACGGCACGGATGAGCCTGGCGTAGGCCTTGTCAAGGTCCCCCCTGCGCTCCGCGCTGCGGAAGATTCCCTCGGCAAGTTCGGCAAACTCCTCGAACGCCGACACGAACGGCAGCACCGCCACCTTGCTCTTCTTGCCGATCTTCACCTCCTCCATCTGCCGCGTCTGCGTCGACTGGTGGGGGAGTGGGGGGAGAGGGGAGGGGTCACGCGGGGTTCGGGGGGAGGGGCCGAGCTTGGGGGCGTGGTCATGCGACACAGGATGGACACGTGGATTGCAAAAACGGGGCGCGTCGCGATACTAGGACAGACACGCAGACACGCAGACACGCAGTGAGATGCAGAGACACACGTACAGACACACACACACACACAGGAAACACGGAGACACACACACAGGAAACACGGAGACACACACACACAAACAGAAAGATGTTGCGGGTTTAATCTCCAACACACCGGTTAGTGCTGAACTAGTAACGAATTGGCATGCTTTGTTTACGTGACAAACCTTACTAATTGGCTGTGTTGGGTGGTGGCGGGTTTAACAACACTTTTATATATTTATGTGATCAAAACCAAAAAATCCTCTATTATGGGTACTAATGGTCGCGAAAGCCTACGTGTTAAACAGAAATATCCCCCGTATAACCTTTACCAGACTGTTGTGACAAGTGCGAGTAGCAGCACACGAGGGGGTGGGTGGCCAACACCACGCCTGGGTGCCTTTATCTCCCCAGTGGTGACGTTTACAACACACCGCACAAGGTACTCATTTGAGGCCGAGTCGACCTAGGGGAGGCCCAGGACCGGTTCAGATAATCGTCACCGGCGTTCACTGTGAGCGGGAATCGAATCGTAGCGCAGCGTAGCGCTGACCGCTACAACTAACCCCTCCCCCCACGCACGCACAGACACGCGGGAAACCCAGACACACTCGCACAGCGAAACACACACACACACACACGGGAGACACGTGACGGACACGCGCACGCACGCACACACACACACACACACGAGACACGTGACAGACACACACACACACACGGGAGACACGTGACAGACACGCGCACGCACGCACGCACGCACGCACGCACGCACACACACACACGTGGGAGACACGTGACGGACACGCGCACGCACACACACACGGGAGACACGTGACGGACACACGAACGCACGCACGCACACACACACACGGGAGACACGTGACGGACACGCACACACACACACGGGAGACACGTGACAGACACGCGCACGCACACACACACGGGAGATACGTGACGGACACGCGCACGCACACACACACGGGAGACACGTGACGGACACGCGCACGCACACACACACACGGGAGACACGTGACAGACACACGCACGCACACACACACACACACGGAAGACACGTGACGGACACGCGCACGCACACACACATACACACACGGGAGACACGTGACGGACATGCGCACGCACACACACACACACACGGGAGACACGTGACAGACACACGCACGCACACACACACACACACACGGGAGACATGTGACAGACACACGCACACACACACACACACACGGGAGACACGTGACGGACACGCGCACGCACACACACACGGGAGACACGTGACAGACACACGAGACACGTGATAGACACGCGCACGCACACACACACACACACATGGGAGACACGTGACAGACACGCGCACGCACACACACACGGGAGACACGTGACGGACACACGCACGCACACACGTGGGAGACACGTGACGGACACGCGCACGCACACACACACACACGGAAGACACGTGACAGACACGCACGCACACACACACACACACGGGAGACACGTGACGGACACGCGCACGCACACACACACACGGGAGACACGTGACGGACACGCGCACGCACACACACATACACACACACACACGAGACACGTGACAGACACGCGCACGCACACACACATACACACATGGGAGACACGTGACAGACACGCGCACGCACACACACATACACACACGGGAGACACGTGACGGACACGCGCACACACACACACACACACGAGACACGTGACGGACACGCGCACGCACACACACACACGGGAGACACGTGACGGACACGCACACGCACACACACATACACACACGGGAGACACGTGACGGACACGCGCACACACACACACACACACGGGAGACACGCGCACACACACACACACACGCGGAGGCGTCGCTCACGATGAGCCGGTCAAAGTTGCGCTTGATGAGCACGAGGACGTTGCCAAGCGTGGTGCTGAGGAAGGAGGTGGGGTCCTGGCTCTGAGCCGTCCACACGTGGTGGCTCATCTTGACGAGCATGTGCAGCGAGGTGAGCGCATCCACGCGGTCCCCCACTGCGATGAGCCCCGCCACCTCCAGCTCCACGCACTGGAAGATCTCCGACATCATCTGGCGCAGGATCGCCGCGTCCTCCTTGCTGTGGGGGGGGGGGGGGGGGGGCGGGGGGGGGGCGTGGGTGGGGGACACGGAGGAAAACGGAGGCGCACGGACAGACAGGCAGAGAGACAGAGCCACAGAAAGAGAGACAGAGACACAGAGACACAGACAGAGACACAGACAGAGAGACAGAGAGACAGAGATAGAGAGAAAGAGACACAGACAGAGAGACAGAGGCACAGAGAGATAGAGACACAGAAACACAGAGAGACAGAGGCACAGACAGAGAGAGACACAGAGAGACAGAGACACAGAGAGACAGATGAACAGACAGACACAGACACAGAGACACAGAGAGATAGAGACACAGAGAGACAGAGACACAGAGAGACAGAGAGACAGAGGCACAGACAGAGATACAGCGACACAGACAGAGAGACAGAGATATGGACAGAGGCAGAGAGAGACAGAGAGACAGAAATACAGAGATATGGACAGAGGCAGAGATAGACAGAGACACGGAGAGACAGAGACACAGACAGAGAGGCAGAGATATAGAGAGACAGAGACACAGACAGAGAGACACAAAGAGACAGAGACAGAGAGACAGAGACACAGACAGAGAGGCAGAGACACAGAGAGACAGAGACACAGAGAGACAGAAACACAGACAGAGACAGAGGCACAGAAAGACAGTGGCACAGAGATATGGACAGAGGCACAGAGAGACAGAGACACAGAGACACAGAGAGACACAGACAGAGAGACAGAGGCACAGAGAGACGGAGGCACAGAGATATGGACAGAGGCAGAGAGAAACAGAGACACAGACAGAGAGACAGAGATACAGAGAAGACAGAGAAACAGACAGACAGACAGACACAGAGAGACACGGGTATAGATGGAGACACACAGAGAGAGACATATGCACGTGAACACAGGCACGCACAGACGCACACAAGCGCACAGATCACAGCCCCACTTGGCGTAGCACACAGAGACTGTTGGGGCAAGTTCTCCGAGCGAGCAGCACCTAGTGGTTGCTGCTCGTGGTGAGCCCAACCCCACGCACGGCCGCATTTGTTCTGACGGGCGCTCTTTTAAGGCCGAGCGGACCTACAGGCGGGCCCGCGGACGTGGCGGGCGGCACTCACGGGAGGTCTGGCGAGGAGGGGGGCAGCTTCTGGCGACTCGCAATCAGTCCGTCAGACTCCGTGTCTCCCTGCGCACACAACGTAGTGCACTGCTCACTCCATTACTCACTTACACTACACACCTGTAGCGTACTCACTCACCACTCACACCTCTAGCATACTCACTCACCACTCACACCTCTAGCGTACTCACTCACACCTCTAGCGTACTCACTCACCACTCACACCTCTAGCGTACTCACTCACCACTCACACCTGTAGCGTACTCACTCACCACTCACACCTCTAGCGTACTCACTCACCACTCACACCTCTAGCGTACTCACTCACTACTCACACCTCTAGCGTACTCACTCACTACTCACACCTCTAGCGTACTCACTCACACCTCTAGCGTACTCACTCACCACTCACACCTCTAGCGTACTCACTCACACCTCTAGCGTACTCACTCACCACTCACACCTCTAGCGTACTCACTCACACCTCTAGCGTACTCACTCACCACTCACACCTCTAGCGTACTCACTCACCACTCACACCTCTAGCGTTCCACTCACCACTCACACCTCTAGCGTAATCACTCACCACTCACCACTCACACCTCTAGCGTTCTCACTCACCACTCACACCTCTAGCGTACTCACTCACCACTCACACCTCTAGCGTACTCACTCACCACTCACCACTCACACCTCTAGCGTACTCACCAATCACCACTCACACCTCTAGCGTACTCACTCACCACTCACACCTCTAGCGTACTCACTCACCACTCACACCTCTAGCGTACTCACTCACCACTCACACCTCTAGCGTACTCACTCACCACTCACACCTCTAGCGCTCTCACTCACCACTCACACCTCTAGCGTACTTACTCACCACTCACCACTCACACCTCTAGCGTTCTCACTCACCACTCACACCTCTAGCGTTCTCACTCACCACTCACACCTCTAGCGTACTCACTCACCGCTCACACCTCTAGCGTACTCACTCACCACTCACACCTCTAGCGTACTCACTCACCACTCACACCTCTAGCGTACTCACTCACCACTCACACCTCTAGCGTACTCACTCACCACTCACACCTCTAGCGTACTCACTCACCACTCACACCTCTAGCGTTCTCACTCACCACTCACACCTCTAGCGTACTCACTCACCACTCACACCTCTAGCGTACTCACTCACCACTCACACCTCTAGCGTACTCACTCACCACTCACACCTCTAGCGTACTCACTCACCACTCACACCTCTAGCGTACTCACTCACCACTCACACCTCTAGCGTACTCACTCACCACTCACACCTCTAGCGTACTCACTCACCACTCACACCTCTAGCGTACTCACTCACCACTCACACCTCTAGCGTACTCACTCACCACTCACCACTCACACCTCTGGCGTACTCACTCACCCACAACTCATCGCACCCGGCCACGACTCACCGCGCTCACCCACAACACCCTCACCTGCGTGGGGGTTCCCTGAGTCTGCGTGGTGCGGGGCTGCGGGGGAGGCAGCTGGAGGTTGAAGAACTTGCAGAGGAAGTCCTGCTCGGCGAGACACGCGGGCTCTAGCTCCACCAGCACCTGCTCGAAGATCTACACAGGTACGCTCACCGTCACCACTCAGTCACTTACCACTCACCCAATGACCCAATAACCCAACGATCTGACAACCCAACGACCCTATAACCTGACGATATCATCACTCAATAACCAAATAACCCAACGATACAATCAGCCAATGACCCAATAACCCAACGCCCTGACATCCTGACAACTCAATCACCCAATGACCCAATAACCCAAATACCCCACGGCGGCACAATCGCTTAACGACGACCCCGCCGACGACCCCGCCGACGACCCCGCCGACGACCCCGCCGACGACCCCGCCGACGACCCCGCCGACGACCCCGCCGACGACCCCGCCGACGACCCCGCCGACGACCCCGCCGACGACCCCGCCGACGACCCCGCCGACCTTGTCGAACTTGCTGTGGTCGCTGATGTCGAGGTCGGACGAGGACATGTTGCCCACGTCGGACAGGGAGGAGGAAGCCGAGCCCCGGGTGGGGGCTCCCCCCCCACCAGCGGCGCCGCCACCCCCGCCCCCCCCCAGCTTATTGAGGCTGGAGGAGGAGCCGGTCAACTTGCTCATAGCCACCTGGGAGGCTATGGTGGGGGGCACACGGGGGTGGGGGGGGGGGCACGATGGGTGGGTGTAGGAGAAGATGCATAAGTAATATTAAAAAATACTTAAAAAAAAAACACGCTTTAATGAAATGTACCGTACTCGTAATGGCAGAACTCCAGGAAGAGGCCACGAAGCTTGCCACAACGTAAGGGGACCCGTGGCCATTTACAGCCAACGTCAGTTGACCGTGGAAAATTAGACCTGAGCCGAAACATAACAATTAAAAAATAACGTTTAATTTTTGTATTTTAATGATAGAATATAGTATTGTCATCAGTATGACATAAGTATACCAAATTTGCAGTCGATACCACATTGGGAAGTGGGTTAATAATTGAGTTACAAGATTTGAAGATACAACAACAGACAGAGTGAGTTAATAGAAAGCGTGTAATAATAAACACACGGGCGGGTGGGTAAACACAGGTGCGTGTGTGCACATGCGTGTGTGTGAGTGTGCGTGTGTGCACGCGTGTGTGCGTGCACACAAACAGGCAGGCATGCGTACGCACGCACGGACATTGTACAAACACACAGACGGGTACACAGGCAGGCACACAAACGCATGGGCGGGCGGGCGAGCGGGCTTACGAGGGCATTTACACAAACGCACAGACGGGAACACGCGTATACGTACACGTGACAACACACGACAATGTACACAAACGCACAGGTTTGTACACGGTACATACACACGCAGGAATGTACTAACGCAGGCAGGTATGCAAACCCATGGGTGCAAACACACACACACAGGCACGTACGCATACACCGGTACGTACCTCACGCGCACAAACGTGTACACAAACACAACACAGGTACGCACACAGCGCGTACACACAGACATGTACACAACGAGCATGCGCACCAACGCACAGGCGCGCACACATGCACATGCGGCGAAGCAAGCGCATACGGACGCACAGCCTCGCACGCACGTGCAGAGACACACACACGCGCACGTGCAGAGACACACACACGCACGCGCACGCACAAACGTACACACAAACGCACAGGCGCACTGACAGGAGAGGGAGGGGGGACGAGGCCGGGCCGGCTCGGAGCCGGCGTGCGCCCAGGGTGCCGCGTGGATGTGCCGATGCCGGAAGAGCGTGTCGGTATGAGCTCACGCACACACGCACGCAAGCTCACGCACACACGCACGCAAGCTCACGCACACATGCACGCAAGCTCGCGCACACACACACGCAAGCTCATGCACACACGCACGCAATCGCATCTGTGGACTCACTCTCATCGACTCACTCGCTCACGCGTACACACTGACCAAGCAAAGACAAATATCCCCCGTATATCATTAGCAGGCTGTTGGGGCAAGTGCTGTCAGCAAGTAGCAGTGTCTATGAAGGCCGACGCAGTACACGAGGGGGGTGAGTGGCGATCGCCACCGGGGAGGAGGGGGGAGGAGAGGGACAAGGGGAGGAGGGGGGAGGAGAGGGACACGGGGAGGAGAGGAAGCACAAGGAGGGAACTTACACTCAAGACGGGAGAGGCTGGGTCGGCGCTGAGTGACTGTTCAGAGAACACACCAACCCACACCGCACCACACCCACACCGCACACACCCACACAGCACCGCACCCACACAGCACCACAACCAGCACCGCACACACCCACACAGCACCGCACCCACACAGCAACACACCCACACAGCACCGCACCCACACAGCACCACACCCACACCGCACACACCCACACAGCACCGCACCCACACAGCACCACAACCAACACCGCACACACCCACACAGCACCGCACCCACACAGCACCACACCGCACCACACTCAGCACCGCACACACCCACACAGCACCGCACTCAGCACCGCACACACCCACACAGCACCACACTCAGCACCGCACACACCCACACAGCACCACACCCACACAGCACCACACCCACACAGCACCGCAACACAGTACCGCACACACCCCCACAGCACCGCAACAGAGTACCGCACAGCGCGCACCACTCCATCTCAAACCACACAGCACCGCACCACACTCACCAGCACCGAACACCCACCAGCAGCGCAACGCACACCCACAGGGGAGTCACGATGGTGGTGGCCCAGGCAGGAGAGGTACAGGAGACAGTGAGAGAGGAGAGGGGGGTGAGGGGGAGAGGAAAAGGAGAGGAAAGGGAGAGTTGAGGATTGGTCAGAACAAGGACGGACTGCAAAAGCAGAAGATGCAGCCTGTGTGTGTGGATAGGTGCGTGCACCTAGCCTGGCACAAACATGTTGCCAATGTTACTTCCACTTAAGAAGGTGAATGGCAGAAATTGTTGTGTCTGTGCGTGCGGTGTGTGTGCGTGCTGTGTGTGTGTGCTGTGTGTGTGTGCTGTGTGTGTGCGGTGTGTGTGTGCGGTGTATGTGTGTGTGTTGTGTGTGTGTGGTGTGTGTGTGTGCGTGCTGTGTGTGTGTGCTGTGTGTGTGTGCTGTGTGTGTGCGGTGTATGTGTGTTGTGTGTGTGTGTGTGCGTGTTGTGTGTGTGTGTGCTGTGTGTGCGTGTTGTGTGTGTGTGCGTGTGTGCGGTGTGTGTGTGCGTGCAGTATTTGTGTGCGGAGATTACCTGAACCGGTCCTGGGCCTCCCCTAGGTAGACTTAACCTAAAATGAGTACCTGGTGCAGTGTGTAGTAAACATCGCAACTGGGGGAGACAAAGGCGGCCGGGCGTGATGTTGCCCACCCACCCCCTCGTGTGCCATGCCGGCCTTCATAGGTGCTCGCTAACAGCACTTGCCCCAACAGTCTAAGGCTATACTGGGGGATCTTTGTACGTGTTTGTGTATGTGTGTGTACGTGTGTGTGTATGTGTACGTGTGGGGAGCGCGATAGTGTAGCGGTTAGCGCGCTGCGCTATGAACCTGGCTACACAGGTTCGATTCCCGCTCACGGCCAACACCAGTGACGATTATCTGAACCGGTCCCGGGCCTCTCCTAGGTCGACTCAGCCTCAAATGAGTACCTGGTGCAGTGTGTAAACATCGTCACTAGGGAGACAAAGGCGGTCGGGTGTGGTGCTGGCCACCCACCCCCTCATGTACCGTTCCGGCCTTCATAGGTGCTCGCTAACAGCACTTGCCCCTACAGTCTGTAAAGGCTATATGGGGGATCTTTATCTTTGTATTATACGGTCTGTGTGTGCACGCGTGCGTGCACGTGTGTGTGCACGTGTGTATATGGTGTGCATGTACACGTGTGTGTACGTGTATGTATACGGTGCTCAACCACGTTATGTTTGCCGATGATTTGGTAATAGCTGCTCATTCAGAGGAGGAGTTGGAGACGCTGCTGCTGAGACTGGAGCGTGCCACTAAGAGATGGGGCCTTACCATCAGCCTCACCAAAACTAAGCACCTGCCTGGGTATTTTGTACCATCGGACACTCCACCCCCACAACTCCCAATCGGTGATGGGGCAGTTGTGGAAAGAGTGGAGAGTTTCCCATACCTGGGCAGTGTGCTTATGACCGGCTCCAGTTTAACAGCAGAGGTCTCACTCCGAATCAGTCGAGCGGCAATATCTTTTCATCGGTTGCGTAACGCTGTGTGGAAGCTACCTGGTCTGTCGCTCTGCACGAAGCTTCAGGTCTTCTCGGCCACCGTCATTCCCTCCCTTCTCTACGCTTGCGAAACCGTGGACCCCCCTAATGGAACATCTTTGCCGTTTAGAAACATTTAGACTAGCCTGCCTACGATCCATCCTGGGTTTAACCAGGATGAATTGTGTGAGGAGCTCACAAATCTTTGAAAGATCTGGGCAAGGTCCCATCGGTAAGCTCCTCCCGCAGGCAAGGCTGCGTTGGCTGGGTCATGTAGCCCGCATGCCCAGCCACCGCATGCCGAAACAGCTTTTGTTCGGCCGGATCGAGGGGGCTAAACGGGCGCGGCACGGGCTAGAGAAGAGATGGAGTGACGTGGTACAGGAGGACGTGCAGCTGGGTGGACTTGCCGATGACTGGTACCAGCGGTGTCAAGATCGGCCTCTGTGGAGGAGGCTCGTGAAGGACGCTACTGGGCAGTTGGAGGCAGTCGCCCTCCAACAACAACGGAGGGCGGAGGAGCGACGCTCACAACAACGAGCGGAGCGCCGGGTGACTAAAGCACAACAGGTTGGCACAGTAGGGGGCACAGGTGGTGCACCAGCCAGTCACTTAGTGGCGAATGGCGGTTGTTGTTGTATACGGTGCTGGCCACCCACCCCCTCGTGTACCGTTCCGGCCTTCATAGGTGCTCGCTTACAGCACTTGCCCCTACAGTTTGTTAAGGCTATATGGGGGATCTTTGTCTTTGTATACGGTGTGCATGCACACGTGTGTGTGTGCACGTACACAGCTTGCGTGAGTCTCGGGACGAGGTGAGCAGTCTCTGTTTGGCCATCTCCATGAACTCCCGGATCTCCTTCTCGTAGAGGCGGCTCAGGTTCTGCGAGTACACCTGAGACACAGTGAATGAGAGTGAGTGTGGAGTTTTCATGTTCTCTCCCTGATCTGCAGAGTGTGAGTGAGTGTGGAGTTTGTATGTTCTCTCCCTGTTCTGCAGAGTGTGAGTGAGTGGAGTGCGTGTGGAGTTTGTATGTTCTCTCACTGTTCTGCAGAGTGTGAGTGAGTGAAGTGAGTGTGGAGTTTGTATGTTCTCCCCCTGTTCTGCAGAGTCTGAGAGTGAGTGGAGTGAGTGTGGAGTTTCCATGTTCTCTCCCTGTTCTGCAGAGTCTGAGAGTGAGTGGATTGAGCGTGGAGTTTTCATGTTCCCTCCCTGTTCTGCAGAGTGTGAATGAGTGAGTGGAGTGAGTGGAGTGAGTGTGGAGTTTGCATGTCCTCTCCCTGTTCTGCAGAGTCTGAGTGGAGTGAGTGTGGAGTTTGTATGTTCTTTCCCTGTTCTGCAAAGTCTGAGTGAGTGGAGTGAGTGTGGAGTTTGCATATTCTCTCCCTGTTCTGCAGTCTGAGAGTGAGTGGAGTGAGTGTGGAGTTTGTATGTTCTTTCCCTGTTCTGCAGAGTGTGAGAGTGAGTGGAGTGAGTGTGGAGTTTGTATGTTCTCTCCCTGTTCTGCAGAGTCTGAGAGTGAGTGGAGTGAGTGTGGAGTTTGCATGATCTCTCCATGTTCTGCAGAGTGTGAGTGAGTGGAGTGAGTGTGGAGTTTGTATGTTCTCTCCCTGTTCTGCAGAGTCTGAGTGAGTGAGTGGAGTGAGTGTGGAGTTTGTATGTTCTCTCCCTGTTCTGCAGAGTCTGAGAGTGAGTGGAGTGAGTGTGGAGTTTGCATGATCTCTCCATGTTCTGCAGAGTGTGAGTCAGTGGAGTCAGTGTGGAGTTTGTATGTTCTCTCCCTGTTCTGCAGAGTCTGAGAGTGAGTGGAGTGAGTGTGGAGTTTGTATGTTCTCTCCCTGTTCTGCAGAGTGTGAGTCAGTGGAGTGAGTGTGGAGTTTGTATGTTCTTTCCCTGTTCTGCAGAGTGTGAGTGAGAGTGAGTGTGGAATTTGCATGATCTCTCCATGTTCTGTAGAGTGTGAGTGAATGAGAGTGAGTGTGGAGTTTTCATGTTCTCTCCCTGTTCTGCAGAGTCTGAGAGTGAGTGGAGTGAGTGTGGAGTTTCCATGTTCTCTCCCTGTTCTGCAGAGTGTGAGTGAGTGGAGTGAGTGTGGAGTTTGTATGTTCTCTCCCTGTTCTGCAGAGTGTGAATGAGTGAGTGGAGTGAGTGTGGAGTTTTCATGTTCTCTCACTGTTCTGCAGAGTGTGAGTGAGTGGAGTGAGTGTGGAGTTTGTATGTTCTCTCCCTGTTCTCCAGAGTGTGAGTGGAGTGAGTGGAGTGAGTGTGGAGTTTGCATGTTCTCTCCCTGTTCTGCAGAGTGTGAGTGAGTGGAGTGAGTGTGGAGTTTGTATGTTCTCTCCCTGTTCTGCAGTCTGAGAGTGAGTGGAGTGAGTGTGGAGTTTGTATGTTCTTTCCCTGTTCTGCAGAGTGTGAGAGTGAGTGGAGTGAGTGTGGAGTTTGCATGTCCTCTCCATGTTCTGCAGAGTGTGAGTCAGTGGAGTGAGTGTGGAGTTTGTATGTTCTCTCCCTGTTCTGCAGAGTCTAAGTGGAGTGAGTGTGGAGTTTGTATGTTCTCTTCCTGTTCTGCAGAGTTTGAGAGTGAGTGGAGTGAGTGTAGAGTTTGCATGTTCTCTCCCTGTTCTGCAGAGTCTGAGAGTGTGAGTGAGTGGATTGAGCGTGGAGTTTGTAAATTCACTCCCTGTACTGCAGAAGGTGAGTGAGTGAGGCTTTGTATGTTTTCCCCCTGTTCTGCAGAATATAGTACGTAGCCAACCGTGCTAACTGGAGTTAGTGGAGTGGTCAGCGCGCTGCGCTACCGATCTGGCGACCCAAGTTCGATTCCGCTCACGGCCGATAAGAGCAGTGAATATTTGAACCAGCCCTAAATATTTCAAAACCTACCCAAGATCGACTCGCCCTCAAATGAGTACCTGGTGCGGTGTGTAGTAAACATCATCACCGGGGAGACAAAGGCGGCCGGGCGTGGTGTTGGCCACCCACCCCCTCGTGTGCCGTGCCGGCCTTCATAGGCCCCGTTTACTCGCTAACAGCACTTCCCCAACAGCCCATTCATGCTATGTCTTCATACAGGCACACAGCCTGCGGGAGTCACCATGTGACCCCGTTACCCCAATTTAGAATTACAGAGTCAAAGGTCAGAGTAATGACGAGGGGGGGGGGGGGGTCAGCCTGAGCGAGGACACCAGTGCCCCATGACCTTGAGTGCAGCCAGGGTTAGGGTCAAGGTCACTGGGTCAACGGAGGGGGGCGGAGGGGTCAGCTTGACCTTTACGAGTCGAGCGAGGACCCCATTGCCCGTGACCTCGAGCACAGCCACGGTTAGGGTCATGGGTCAGCGGGTCATGCGGCCAGACTGACCTTTGCGAGCTGGGTGAAGACGTCCTGGTCGGTGACCTTGAGCCAGCCCATGAGCATGGCGTAGGGCAGCAGGTCGCGCTGGAAGGCCGCGTGGCGAGGAAGGGACAGCTCCCCGGTGACGTGGGGGCCTCCAGGTCCAGCTATGCCCTGGGGGGGGGGGGGGGGGGCGGGGGGGGGCATGGTGTCCGGGCGTGGTGGTGGAGGGGAGAGGGGTGAGTTAGGAGTCTAAGAAGCAGCGTGGGGAGTTCATTTTTGGGGTGAGCTAGATAGTTGTGGTCTTGACGTCGCACTCAAGATTGTAAATGTTGTGGCTTGGCTCTCCAACACACCGGTACTTGTATACTACACTATACACTAGTGCTGTACTGGTAGACTACACTATACACTACACTATACACTAGTGCTGTACTAGTAGACTACACTATACACTACACTATACACTAGTGCTGTACTAGTAGACTACACTATACACTACACTATACACTAGTGCTGTACTAGTACACTACACTATACACTACACTATACACTAGTGCTGTACTAGTATACTACACTATACACTACACTATACACTACACTTCACACAATACTATACACTAGTGCTGTACTAGTATACTACACTATACACTACACTATACACTAGTGCTGTACTAGTAACTACACTACTACACTATACACTAGTGCTGTACTAGTACACTACACTATATACTACACTATACACTAGTGCTGTACTAGTACACTACACTATATACTACACTATACACTAGTGCTGTACTAGTATACGACACGATACACTACACTATACACTACATATCACACTATACACTACACTATACACTAATACTGTACTAGTATACTACACTATACACTAGTGCTGTTCTAGTATACTACACTATATACTACACTATACACTAGTGCTGTACTAGTATACTACACGATACACTACACTATACACTACACTATACACTAGTGCTGTACTAGTATAATACACTATACACTACACTATACACTAGTGCTGTACTAGTATACTACACTATACACTACACTATACACTAGTGCTGTACTAGTAACGAATTGGCACGTTCTGTTTACGTGACAAACCTTACTAGTTGGCTGTGTCGGGTGGTGGCGGGTATAACAACACAACATTTATATATTCACGCGATGTCACCCAAAAAAAACCTCTATTATGAACAAATGTGTTGCGAGTTCCCTCCACCACCCAACACGGCCAATCAAATGACATTCCCACTTGGTGCTGTTACGGCTCAACTCACCGTGGGTGAGGGTTAGAGAGCGGCTTTCACTCACGAACTCACCCACTCAGTTACCCGCTCACTCACATCTACACTCACCGTCGGAGACTTACAGAACCATCCTCACCCTCTCACTCACACACGCCACACTCACTCTCTTACTCACATCCACACTCACCCACTAACCCACCCACTCACACACTGCCACACTCACCCACTCACCCTCCCACTCACACACTGCCACACTCACGCACTCACCCTCCCACTCACACACTGCCACACTCACTCACTCACCCTCTTACATCCACACTCACCCACTAACCCTCCCACTCACACACTGCCACACTCACGCACTCACCCTCCCACTCACACACTGCCACACTCACCCTCTTACTCACATCCACACTCACCCACTCACCCTCCCACTCACACACTGCCACACTCACGCACTCACCCTCCCACTCACATACTGCCACACTCACTCACTCACCCTCTTACATCCACACTCACCCACTAACCCTCCCACTCACACACTGCCACACTCACGCACTCACCCTCCCACTCACACACTGCCACACTCACCCTCTTACTCACATCCACACTCACCCACTAACCCTCCCACTCACACACTGCCACACTCACGCACTCACCCTCCCACTCACACACTGCCACACTCACCCTCTTACTCACATCCACACTCACCCACTAACCCTCCCACTCACACACTGCCACACTCACCCACTCACCCTCCCACTCACACACTGCCACACTCACCCACTCACTCACCCTCTTACTCACATCCACACTCACCCACTCACCCTCTCACTCACTCACTGCCTCACTCACCCACTCACTCACATCCACACCAGAAAGATGGCTGTTCGCTATCGTTGTCGTTGTCCACCTTTGTGCACCTTGCGCGGAGCCGCGTGCGCTGCCACCTCACCTGCTGCACAAACATATTGTTGAGGTGGTACGACAGCCGTTTGGTGAAGTTCTGTCTCAAGGTCTCGAACTTGATCTTCTGCTCCACTACCGCCTGCAGCTTGCCGTGTCCTGCAATCGCACGGTGGGGTGGGGGGGGTGGGGGTGGAATGAGCGTAAGGGCTTTGCAGTGGGAACACTCCCGCCGTCTGTGGCGCTGCGGTGGTCACACACTCGCACCTCACAGCAAGGCCGATCCCGGGTTCGATTCCTGGCTCTGGCGGTGGTGTGTGGAGTTTGAACGTTCTCCCTCCCCGCCAACTCCCCCGTTCTGCGGGCTGGAGTGCGAGTGCATGAGTGTCTGTGTGTGTGTGTGGGGAGCGGTAGTGTAGCAGTTAGCGCTACGCCGAGCTACGAACCCGGCGGCCTGAGCTCGGTTCCTGCTCACGGCCAACAACGGTGACGACTATCTGAACCGGTCATGGGACTCCCCTAGGTCGACTCAAGCGCAAATGAGTACCTGGTGCGGTGTGTAAACATCGCCACTGCAGAGACAAAGGCGGCCGGGCGTGGTGCTGGCCAACCAACCCCTCGTGTGCCGTGCCGGCCTTCATAGGTGCTCGCTAACAGCACTTGCCCCAACAGTCTGTTCAGACTATACGGGGGGGGGATCTTTGTCATTGAGTAGGAAATTGTGTGCGCGTGTGTGTGTGCGTGTAGTTTGTGGGGTAGTGCAGCGGTTAGCGTGCCGCGCCACGAACCCTGCGGCCCAAGTTCGATCCCTGCTCATAGCCACCACCAACGCCATTGATGATTATCTGAACCGGTCCTGGGCCGTCCCTAGGTGGACTGAAATTACTACCTTTTTTGTTAAACATATTTTGAGTAGATTGTTGCTGTACACAACAACAAAAACAACCGCGCGCTAATATCCAGCCAGGCCTCATGCCCCCGGCGCGTCGTGGTGAATGGGGGGTTGAAGTTATTACCTGAGCGGCGCCATTCTCACTTCATGGTGAATGGCGGCTGCTGTTGTTGTTGTTGTTGTGCGAGTGTGTGTGTGTGTTCTCTCTCCCCATATTGCCTGTCTCCCCCCCGTGTTCTATGTCTCTCCTCGTGTTCTCTCTCTCTCCCCGTGTTTTCTCTCTCTTTTTTTACGATCGGAGGAAACAAGAAGATGCTCGGTGTAGTCGGCACTTTGCTTCGTTCATCATTTCGTTTTTTATTTAATGCTTTGCTTTATGTAACCCCTCCCCCCCCCTTTTTAAATGAAAGATTTAACAAAAGATTTCTCCTTACCCGTTCCCTCTCTCTCTACCCCCCTCTCTGCCCCCCCTCTCTCTCTCTCTACCCCCTCTTTTCCTACTCAATGTTGCACTCTCTCCCTCTCTCTTTTTTTATTAACTACGACAAGTGCTGCATCTGCACGCAGCCCTCCTCACAGTCAAACGGCCTCCGACGGGTAGCTCAGATCTGCATGCAGAGCTCTCTACCGTCATCTGCCACCGAGCACACGGCCTCCTCCAGCGCCCACTGCTCCTTGAAGGCCGGCACGGCGTGGGTCAGCCGCGCATGGCGGAACTCCAGCCCACACACCCTGGCTCCGACCAGAGCGCGGAAGAAGCCCAGGCTGCCGGCCGGACTATTCTCTCGCTCTCCCCGTGTTCTCTCTCTCGCTCTCCCCGTGTTCTCTCTCTCTCTCCCCGTGTTCTCTCTCTCGCTCTCCCCGTGTTCTGAGTCTCACCCGGGTGCAGCTGCACCCCCATGCACTGCGTGAGCGCCTCCGCGGCGGCGCTGCACGCGGTGATCCCCCGCGACGTGGTCAGGTCGCCCTGGTTCAGCGCCTGAACGTGGCCGCGGGACAGATTCAGCTGGTTCTGTGTGCGAGGGTCGGCGGGACGCACGGGGAACGGGCGGGGGGAGGAGGACGAAGAAGAAGGGCGGGGTAGGGGAGGGCCGGGGGGAGGAGGATTAGAAGGTGAGGAGGGTATGGGGAGACAGAGAGAGTCTCGGGGAGGGGGGAAGAGGTAGGCGAGGGGAAGGAGAAGGTACACATGGGGAGACATAAGGAAGACAACAGGTAGACAAGAGGATGGCATTGGGAGATGGAGGGACATACGGGGGACATGAAGGGGCACGTGGGGAGAGAAAGGGCGAGACACGGGGAGGCGAAGGGAAACATGCGGAGATGGAGAGGAGACGCACGGAGGTATGGAGATGACGTTCGTAAGTCAGGTGGTGTTCGTGGCAACCGGCGGTAATGATGCTGCTGATGGCGGCGGCGACAGTGGTGGTGGTAATAACGCTGCCGCCGCCGCCGCTGGTGGTGGTGGTGTTGGTAACAATGAGTGCTGCTGGTGACTAGGCCACCCCACCGCCACCCTCCACAACGCACCACCAGGTAGTCCACCTCCTGCAGCAGCTGGCGGGAGTTGGCGTGGGCGAGCTGCACCAGGCGGTTGCTCTGCGACACCTGCTCCATCTGCTGGCGCACGGACCGCAGCATGTCCTCGTAGGAGGCGAGCGTGCGCTCCACGCGGTCCGCCTCGCCCAGCGCCTCGTCCAGCAGCGACATCAGCGTGCCCACCTGCTGCTCCGACGCGATGATCCACTGGATGTTCGCCTGTGGGGGGGAGGGGGGCGGAGGCGGGTGGGGGGGGGGGGCATGGGGCCGGGCACGGCGGAGGTTGTTTTGCACGCTGGCACCGTTCGGCGATCGAGCGGAGCGGCATTGCGTTGTCGCGGGCGTCGCCTTGCGAATTAAGGGTTCCCTGTGTGTCTATGGGTCTTTGCGTGAGTCTAAGGGCCTCCGCGTGAGTTAATGGCTCTCTACGCAGAGTCTATGGCTCTCTGCGCGAGTCTATGGCTCTCTGCGTTAGTTTATAGGTCTCTGCATGAGTGTATAGCTCTCTGCGCGAGTCTATGGCTCTCTGCGTTAGTTTATAGGTCTCTGCATGAGTGTATAGCTCTCTGTGCGAGTCTATGGGTCTCTACGCGAGTCTATGGCTCTCCGCATTAAGTCTATGACTCTCCGCATTAAGTCTATGGCTCTCCGCATTAAGTCTATGGGTCTCTGCGCGAGTCTTTGGGTCTCTGCGCGAGTCTATGGGTCTCTAAGTGAGTCTATGGGTCTCTGCGTGAGCCTATGGGTCCTCTGCATGAGTCTACGGTTCTGTGGCTGCTGGCGAAGGGGAGCTCCTCACCCCGTCCAGGACGTGCAGCTCCCGCGAGAGGCGCCCGGCGAAGGCCTCGGCGTTGGCGATGGCCGTGTGGCACTCGTCCATCATCTTCTCGATGTCGCCCTCCTCCCGCGACGTCAGCTCCTGGTAGTCGTCGGGGGGGTCCCCCTCGCCGGCCTCGTCGGGGCCGCCCGTTCCCCCGGGACCCCCCGAAACGCCGCCCCCCTCGCCGAGCCCGCTCGCCTCTACGGAGACAAAGATCCGCGTGCCACCGCCCCACCGCGTAGGCTTTCAACGTGCCGTTCGGGGCCAGGTGCCGCTCGCGCGCCGCCTGTCGAGGCCGGCGCGGCGCACGAGGGGGTGGGGTGGCCAGCACCACGCCCGGCCGCCTTTGTCTCCCCAGCGGCGACGCTTTAAACACGCCGTACCAGGTGCTCATCATAGGCCAAGTCGACCGAGGGGAGGCCCAGGACCGGTTGATTACCGCCGCCCGCCGCTGTTATCGGGTCGCCGAGTTCGTAGTGCAGCGTGCTAACTGCCGCGCCACCGCTACCCCCGCACGGACGCCGAACACATGATGCCAACGGCACGATTGGGAGAGAGTTGGGGAAGCGATTCATTTAATTGTAAACGGAAAAAAGGGGGAGTGGTGGTGGTGGGGAGAGGCGGGGAGGGGTGGTGTGTGGAAGTCTCTCACCTTCGGCCAGTTCTGTCAGCATGAAGCAGCCAGTGGTGAGCAGAGGAGCAGAGACAGAGAGAGATGCAGAGAGAGAGAGGGAGAGAGCAGAGAGAGAGAGGGAGAGAGCTCACACACACAGGACATTATTGCAGCAACAAGCAATGAGGGAGGAGGAGGCAGGAGGACAAGGGAGAGGAGGACGTATTTGCGTTTCAAGTATATTATGTTTAACCAGGTGAGATCTCTGGTGACCAGGACATAGCTTCATTTGCAAAAAAAACACACGAGGGCAAGCGCAACGGTGACGTGAACAGGAAATAGAGGAGGTGGAGGAGGTGGAGGAGGTGCGAAGTCAAGCGAGGTGAGCGTCGAGGCGAGCGGTACGAGGTTAGAGCGTGGGATGCGAGGGGTGGTGCGATGAGCAGCGAGCGCGACGGGGTGAACGCTGAGCGGCGATTGCGTTGAGCGGCGAGGTGACGAGCCGAGTGGTGAGCTCAGCGCGTAAGGTGAGCGGCGGTGAAGATGAGCGGCGAGGTGAGCGGCGTGGGGAGCGTGGCGAGCCGACACCTTCGAGCAGGGCTGGGTTGATGCCCACGAATTCGATCTTCTTGCGCAAGTAGCGCTGGTTGAGCTTCCAGAGGCACGAGACGAAGCCGTGTTTGTCGGCCACGCTGCTCGCAACCCACTTGTACACTTTGTCCAGGTGTAGCTCAAACTCCGCACTCTCCTGCACAATACGCACAACACACACAATACGCACAACACACACAACACACACAACACGCACAACACACACAACACACACAATACACACACACAATACACACAATACACACAATACACTTGTACACTTTGTCCAGGTGTAGCTCAAACTCCACACTCTCCTGCCCAACGCGCACAACACACATAACACACACAACACAACACACACAACACACACAATACACACAACACACACAATACACACAACACACATAATACACACAATACACACAACACACACAACACACGCACAACACACACACAATACACACACACAACACACACAACACAACACACACAACACAACACACACAACACACACAACACACACAACACACATGCACAACACACACGCACAACACACACGCACAACACACACACAATACACACAATACACTTGTACACTTTGTCCAGGTGTAGCTCAAACTCCGCACTCTCCTGCCCAATGCGCACAACACACATAACACACACAACACACACAACACACACAACACACACGCACAACACACATAATACACACAACACACATAACACACACAACACACACAACACACACACGCACAACACACACACAATACACACGCACAACACACACACAATACACACGCACAACACACACAACACACACAACACACACAACACACACACAACACACATAATACACACAACACACACAACACACACGCACAACACACACACAATACACACAATACACTTGTACACTTTGTCCAGGAGTAGCTCAAACTCCACACTCTCCTGCCCAACGCGCACAACATACATAATACACACAACACAACACACACATAATACACACAATACACACAACACACACAACACAACACACACGCACAACACACACGCACAACACACACGCACAACACGCACACCACACACACCACACACAATACACACAACACACACACACAACACACACAATACACACAATACACTTGTACACTTTGTCCAGGTGTAGCTCAAACTCCGCACTCTCCTGCCCAACGCGCACAACACACATAATACACACAACACACACGCACAACACACATAATATACACAACACACATAACACACACAACACACACAGCACACACAACACACACGCACAACACACACACAATACACACACACAACACAACACACACACAACACACACAACACACACAACACACATGCACAACACACACGCACAACACACACACAATACACACAATACACTTGTACACTTTGTCCAGGTGTAGCTCAAACTCCGCACTCTCCTGCCCAACGCGCACAACACACACAACACACACAACACACACAACACACACAACACACACAACACACAAGCACAACACACATAATACACACAACACACACAACACACACGCACAACACACACACAATACACACGCAACACACACAACACACACACAACACACACAATACACTTGTACACTTTGTCCAGGTGTAGCTCAAACTCCGCACTCTCCTGCCCAACGCGCACAACATACATAATACACACAACACAACACACACACATAATACACACAATACACACAACACACACAACACAACACACACGCACAACACGCACACCACACACACAACACACACAATACACACAACACACACAATACACACAATACACTTGTACACTTTGTCCAGGTGTAGCTCAAACTCGCACTCTCCTGCCCAACGCGCACAATACACATAATACACACAACACACACACGCACAACACGCACAATACGCACAACACACACATAATACACACAACACACACGCACAACACACACGCACAACACACACGCACAACACACATGCACAACACACACGCACAACACACACAACACACACGCACACCACACACAATACACACACAATACACACACAATACACTTGTATGCCTTGTCCAGGTGTAGCTCAAACTCCGCACTCTCCTATACAAAGACAAAGATCCCCCGTAAAGTCTCAACAGATTGTTGGGGCAAGTGCTCTTAGCGAGCACTTATGAAGGCGGCACGGCACACAAGGGAGTGGTTGGCCAGCACGACGCCCGGCCGCCTTTGTCTCCCTCGGGGCGATTCTTACTGCACACCGCCGACAGCTACACGACCACAACACGCACAACCCACCTCGTCTAAGTGCAGCTCATCCGCCGCACTCTCCGACACAACAAGACGTGCGTATGTGTAGTAATACACAACACACCACGCACAAAGTGGTACGCAGGAGTGGCGGTGGGGGGAGGGGGGCGAGGCGAGGTGAGTCGTGGGGGGGCACCTTGACGGGGTCTCTGCCGTCCACCACCACCAGGTCCCGCAGGAGCCATGTGCTCTGCTTCTTGTAGAGCTCGCCGCGGTCCGCCTTCTTCACCTTGACGATGGAGACCTGGACTGGGCGCTCCGTCGTCACTGGTGAGGAGGGGGTGAGGAGGATGGGGGGATGAGGATTGGTGCGGTGGTGGCCACTTTACATCCACGATATCCCTGGGCTCGCCAGGAGGAGACGCTACCGCAAAAAAAAAAAACGCCGTGGACTCCGAATCTGTTCAATCCGCATGGGATAGAGTGTTTCCCCCTCGCACGCTTTGGTTTTCTCCAAGTGCTCCGGTTTCTTCACACGTGCAAAACGCTCATTTAATAGGGCGATAATACCTTCACACATTCAAGAGGACCGCAGAACTTGGGCAATTGTTGACGCGGGTTCATCGCGTGGCTTGCTGCTGCTGCTCGTTTGCGGTTCCTCCCTCAAACTTCAGGTCGTTCCCTGCTCACTCCCGAGCTATAGATGTCCTGATAGTGGCATTGTCCTTGTCCTGTTCGCCTTTCCTCCCTCAAACTTCAGGTCGTTCCCTGCTCACTCCCGAGCTATAGATGTCCTGATAGTGGCATTGTCCTTGTCCTGTTCGCCTTTCCTCCCTCAAACTTCAGGTCGTTCCCTGCTCACTCCCGAGCTATAGATGTCCTGATAGTGGCATTGTCCTTGTCCTGTTCGCCTTTTGACGTTCTCTGATCTGACACTGGTGAGACAGGGCCCTATAGAAGGCTACGTCTCTGGTGTAGGCCAATTGGTTTCCAAGACAATGCGTCATGCATGATCAGAGCCACGTGTGTGTTGGCATGTTCACCACAAGTATCGGTGTGGTGGTCAACGCGGTAACTCGATTCCTTGCAAAACGTTTATATTTGGTGTTTGAACATCTTAACTCAACTCATGTTTTGTTGCCAGACAAAACATGAGTTGTTCATACTGGCGGTGATGTTGTTGCTGCTGCTGCTGATGTGGTGGTGGTGGTGGTTTATGCGACTCGATGTTGATGGCTATGATAATGTTGTTGATGTTGTTGTTGATGATGATATTGCTCACCCGCGGCGCACAGGAAGCAGCTTTTCCTCTTCTTCCCCGACTTGCAGACGCTCACCACGCTCAGCAGACGCTCGTCAGCCGGGGTGAACACCTCCTTCTGCAGGGCATGGCGCAGCGCGGTCATCGCGGAGACGACGCCGGGCGAGACAGGGAGACACGGGGCAAGAGAGGAGACACGGAGACACGGAGCGAGACAGGGAGACGCGGGGCAAGAGAGGAGACACGGAGACACGGGGCGAGACAGGGAGATGCGGGGCGAGAGAGGGAGACACGGGGCAAGAGAGGAGACACGGAGACACGGGGCGAGACAGGGAGACGCGGGGCGAGAGAGGGAGACGCGGGGCGAGACAGGGAGACACGGGGCGAGACAGGGAGATGCGGGGCGAGAGAGGGAGACGCGGGGCGAGGCAGAGAGACACGGGGCGAGAGAGGGAGACACGGGGCGAGAGAGGAGACACGGAGACACGGAGCGAGAGGAGACACGGGGCGAGACAGGGAGACGCGGGGCGAGGCAGGGAGATGCGGGGCGAGACAGAGAGACACGGGGGAGAGAGGGAGACGCGGGGCGAGGCAGGGAGACGCGGGGCGAGAGAGGAGAGACGGAGACACGGGGCGAGACAGGGAGACACGGGGCGAGACAGAGAGACGCGGGGCGAGGCAGGGAGATGCGGGGCGAGAGAGGAGAGACGGAGACACGGGGCGAGACAGGGAGACACGGGCGAGACAGGGAGACACGGGGCGAGGCAGAGGGACACGGGGCGAGACAGGGAGATGCGGGGCGAGAGGGGCAGGAGGGAAGAGACGCGCGGGGTCGCGACCCCTGACCCCGGATGTTGCGGACTGGAGTCGCTTCCGGGTCACCGTCCCTACCCTTCCACCGGCATCGCCCTCGGACCACGTGACGCGGGTCACGTGGCGACGCTGGTCCGGAGACACGTGACCGTTAATAACAAACAACACCACGTGCTCACCTCCACCACGCCCTCACCGTCACGCGCTCACCACCACTCCCTCAACACCACGCCCTCACCATTAACACCACGCGCTCACCACCACCACCACGCGCTCACCACTATCACATGTTCAGCACCACCACGCCCTCACCATCACATTCTCACCACCACGCTCACCACCATCACGCACTCACCACTCCCTCACCACTCCCTCAACACCACGCACTCACAACCATCACATGCTCACGACCATCATTCACCGTTACGCACTCACCAATACTCCGCCATTCGCCACGAAGTGACTGTGACGTCACCACGGCGCCTGTGCCAGGCGAGGTGCACTTTGAGGCCACGGGAAATGTTGACGGCTCGCTAGACAGGAGGTCACGGAACAGACCCAGTAGGTGCCATGGGTTGACTAAATTGAGATGACTGGTAGATGCACCCAGCTGTACCCCCCCCCACTGTACGAACTTGTGCTTTAGCTACCCGGCGCTCCGCTAGTTGTTGTGAGCGTCACTCCTCCGCCCTCCGTTGTTGGAGGGCGACTGCCTCCAACTGCCCAGTAGCGTCCTTCACGAGCCTCCTCCACAGAGGTTGATCTTGACACCGCTGGTACCAGTCATCGGCAAGTCCGCTCAGCTTCACATCCTCCTATACATCAGTCCATCTCTTCTCCAACCCATGGCGTGGCTGGGCATGTGGGCTACATACATCACCCAGCCAACGCAGCCTTGCCTGCCGGAGGAGCTCACCGATGGGACTTTGTCCAGATCTTTCATGGATTTATGAGCTCCTCACACAATCCAGCCTTGGTTAAACCCAGGATGGATCGTAAGCATGCCAGCCTGAATGTTTCTAACCGGCGCAGATTAGAGGGGTCCACGTTTCACAAGCATAGAGAATGGAGGGCATGACTGGCCGAGAATACCAGAAGCTTCGTGTGGAGCGACAGACCTTAGCACCACGCCTATCACTGTGTATACGCCTATGCCCAACATGATGAAGGGTCCTCAATGATTGTGAGCAGATGAGCAGATAGCCAATGACCCCGACAGTAGACTGAACCAGACGCCCAAGCCTATTGATAGCATCATCATAGGCCTGAACCAGATCAGTAAAGCAGAGATGCAAGGCCGTAATTATATTTGAATATGGGGGTAGGGGGGGGGTGTGGGGGTCACACATCCACCCCAATATGCTCAAAATGTCCCCCCCCCCCCAATATATAGCTATTAAATAGATTTCTGTTTATATGATTGTAGTTATGGTTGTACTTTATAAATCCCTAATTTTTGCCATTACATACGATGAAACAAAAAAAGGTAAAAAAAGAAAAAACAGAGCAATGTAATACAATACACTATTAGACATTATTGTAAAAAATAAATAACAAAGTCCATCCTATGTGTTAGTGAATTTTTTTATATTTTATGCAGGAAATGGCAGGAAATTAGTTTTCAAATTTAGATTTTTTTTCTGGGGGGGTGGGGACCCCAGACCCCTGGAAGATTTGGTCCCCCCCAATGTTGACTCCATGGCTACGGCCTTGCAGAGATGTAATCCCGATGAAATCTCCTTTCACCCCTGCTGTCGTACATTGACAATATGGCATCTGTGCGGGACCGTCCTAGTCTAAAACTAAGATGAGTCTCTACAGTCTCCTCTGCGTGCCTGGCCCGGGCAATTATTTGAATAATCCTTGCCAGGACCTTTACTGGCCTCACACTGCGGATGGAGATGCACCGCACCAGGCAGCTGTTGGCATCGGTGCAATCCTACTTTATAAAACGGAGGGGGGACCACCAGGGCCTCCTTCCAATCCATTGGAACCCATCACGAGGGCCAGAGATGGTTGTGATTGTCGTCATGGAGGGCGCTCTGGGCACAAATCGCCACCCTGGCACTTTTCCTCGTCTCTTTACCCGGCATCTGGGTCGTTCTAAGTCCGCGTTCTTAACTCGTTTTCAGTAAGAGGGGAGGATGAGACATCATCAGATGTGAGGGCCTCCACGCCACGCATTTGAAACTGTTTGGTTCAACACGCAGGAGGCTTTCGCGACCGATATATATTTATTTTTTTGGGGGGGGGGGGGTTAGATCGCGTGAGTATATAAATGTGTTTTTAAAACCCACCACCACCTGACACAGCCAACTAGTAAGGTCCGTCACGTAAACAGAACGTGACGATTCGCTACTTGTTCAGCACCACCGGCGTGCCCATTGGCTGTGTCGGGTGGTGGCGGGTTTTCACGACGCATTTAGATTGACGCGATCCAACCCCCCCCCCAAAAACCCTCTATGGTGAAACCATTGGGGTTGACAGCAGCACGACGATGACGATGCCGAACTGCATTAAAGGGGATAGCGTGGTTGTAGAGCATCATATTTGGGGTATTGGCCCAAAAGCTTAGCAATTAATTTAATAGGATTATTACCATATACCTATACACCCACAACCCAGCTATCAATAAATATAGGATTAGCAGTTCCCCCTGCGATTAGCTACTGTCCATCTTGGCATCGGAGGCTATTATGAAGGTTTGCAGTACAATTGCGTTCAATGAGTAAGGTGCCTTGCTGTTAAACTGAGTGGTGTTTTCACTCTTTGTGTATTGTCGAGGGCTTGGACGTCAGGGGCCGGACTAAGGGCCATCGAGGGGGCCGCCAGTGGCCAGTGGTGGCCTCGCGATGAAGAACAACCGCTCGGAGCACTTTCTCAACAGACGGCGCATTAGCCCGCCACTCACAGGGGCTTCAGTGCCGGATTATCCCAGTAGCAAAAGTAGCTACATATGTGTAGCGCCATAGATGGAATGGTACCTCGTACCGTCAGGGGAGGGGCTGCAGCGACAGCCCAAGAGGGGAGGGGCTGCTGGGGGCTCAGGATCCCCAGACAGCTAAGCCCCTCGGCGCCCCCAACGGGGGGCTGCGGGGGTTCTGGGATCCCACGCAGCCCCACCCCTCAATGGGCAAGGGGTATAAAAGGGGACCTCCCCAGCCGATCGGGACCCAGTTGAAGACCGAAGCCGAAGAGCAGCAGCTCGATAGGACCCTGAGACCCCTAGCCCCGCTGTCCTTATCAGGGCCGAGACTCTGTGCGGCTCAGCGGTGAGACCCTGGGAACCCCTGGCCCCGACGCCCTTGTAAGGGCCAGGTCCAGTGGCTCAGTGGTGGGAACTCGCACCCTGGCTAGGGCGAGTTAGAATAGCCTCCCCCTAGGCACCCATAGCCGGAGTACCCTGAGTGTAGCCCTGTGTTAGGGCACGTTAGCCCAGAGGCAGTACCCTCCCTAGACAGTGGTGTAGGAGGACCCTGAGTGTAGCCCTGTGTTAGGGCACGTTAGCCCAGAGTCAGTACCCTCACTAGACAGTGGTGTAGGAGGACCCTGAGTGTAGCCCTGTGTTAGGGCACGTTAGCCAGGAGGCAGTACCCTCACTAGACAGTGGTGTAGGAGGACCCTGAGTGTAGCCCTGTGTTAGGGCACGTTAGCCCAGAGGCAGTACCTCCCTAGACAGTGGTATAGGTGGACCCTGAGTGTAGCCCTGTGTTAGGGCACGTTAGCCCAGAGGCAGTACCCTCCCTAGACAGTGGTGTAGGTGGACCCTGAGTGTAGCCCTGTGTTATAGGGCACGTTAGCCCAGAGGCAGTACCTCCCTAGACAGTGGTGTAGGAGGATCCTGAGTGTAGCCCTGTGTTAGGGCACGTTAGCCCAGAGGCAGTACCTCCCTAGACAGTCGTGTAGGAGGGCCCTGAGTGTAGTCCTGTTAGGGCACGTTAGCCCAGAGGCAGTACCTCCCTAGACAGTGGTGTAGGAGGACCCTGAGTGTAGCCCTGTGTTAGAGCACGTTAGCCAGGAGGCAGTACCCTCACTAGACAGTGGTGTAGGAGGACCCTGAGTGTAGTCCTGTGTTAGGGCACGCTAGCCCAGAGGCAGTACCTCCCTAGACAGTGGTGTAGGTGAACCTGAGTGTAGCCCTGTGTTAGGGCACGTTAGCCCAGAAGCAGTACCTCCCTAGACAGTGGTGTAGCCCTGAGTATAGCCCTGTGTTAGGGCACGTTAGCCCAGAGGCAGTACCCTCACTAGACAGTGGTGTAGGAGGACCCTGAGTGTAGCCCTGTGTTAGGGCACGTTAGCCCAGAGGCAGTACCCTCACTAGACAGTGGTGTAGGAGGACCCTGAGTGTAGCCCTGTGTAAGGGCACGTTAGCCCAGAGGCAGTACCTCCCTAGACAGTGGTGTAGGAGGACCCTGAGTATAGCCCTGTGTTAGGGCACGTTAGCCCAGAGGCAGTACCTC